ATTCAAGCGCTTCATCATTGTCCTTCTTCACTGCCGTTAGCCTATCCTAGGTCCTTTGCATTTTTTCCCCCTTCCTTTGCATTTTTGTATATATTTTAGGATAAGTTTATCAACTTCTATAAAACAGACTGCAGGAATTTTGAGATTACACTAACTGAGATCAACTTAGGAAGGATTGACATGCTGATAACATTGATTCTTCTGTCCATTTGCATGTCTCTCCATTAATTTAAAGCTGCTTTAATTTCTTTCAGCTGTATTTTCTAGTTTTCAGGATATAGTTGAGCGTATTTTGTTAAAAAATTATCCTTAGGTATTTATTTTTTGTTGATATTACAAATGACACTTATAAAATTTTCAATGTATGATTGATATGAGTCTGTATAGAAATAGTATTTTTATATTTTGACCTCGAATACTGATAAGTTTTTTATTTTTACTTCGTAGTTCTAGTTGTTTTATAAATCCCTTAGAATCTTGCATGTAGATAACCAGATAGTTTCTAAATAAGATAGTTTACTCCTTATTTCCCAATCAGTATGCCTTTTCTTTTCTTTGCCCCATAAGTTTTTCTTTCTCAAACTATCATCAATGCAAGGCTCTGTGTATGGTTTGGGATAATTCATTGGCCATTTCTAACCACACTTATCTCTCTTCTTTAATTCATTCGATAGCTGTGATATTGAGACATATTTCAGGTTCTTCACATTTTCCCAGCTATAATAAGATGAGAGTTCCTGGTTGGGCTTAGCATTTAACCAAAATTATGATATCTGCATTTATTTTAATTTTAAATTAAACTTATTGGGCCCTAACCAGTTTGGCTCAGTGGATAGAGCGTGGCCTGCGGACTGAAGGGTCCTGGGTTCAATTCCGATCAAGAGCATGTACCTTGGTTATGGGCACATCTCCAGTAAGGGGTGTGCACAAGGCAGCTGATCGATGTTTCTCTCTCATTGATGTTTTTCTCTATCCCTCTCTCTTCCTCTTTGTAAAAAAAAAAATTAGCTGAAACTGGTTTGGCTCAATGGATAGAGCATCGGCTTGGGGACTGAAAGGTCCCGGGTTCGATTCCGGTCAAGGGCATGTACCTTGGTTGTGGGCATATCCCCAGTAGGGGGTGTGCAAGAGGCAGCTGATCGATGACTCTCCCATCGATGTTTCTAACTCTCTATCTCTCTCCCTTCCTCACTGTACAAAATCAATAAAATATATTTTTAAAAAATTTAAAAAAATCAATGAAATATATTAAAAAATAAAATAAATTTATTGGTTAATAGGATCATATAGGTTTCAACTACACATTTCTATGATACATGATCTGCAAATTGTTTCCACTACTCAAAGTCAGTTCATCTTTTATAACCATATATTTGACCCCCTTTATGCTTTACTAACTGCCCCACTGCCTTCCCTCTGGTAACCACCATACTGTTTATGTCTATGAGTTTGTTTTATATACCACATATGAATGAAATCGTATGGTTATTGGTTTTTTTCTGACTTATTTCACTTAGCACAGTAGCCTCAAGGGCCATCCATGTTGTCACAAATGGCAGCATTTCATCTCTTCTTATGACTGAGAAGTATTCCATGGTATATATGTACCACATCTTTATCCAGTCCTCTATCAAAAAATACTTTGGCCTGGCCAGTAGCTCAGTGATTGAGTGTTGACCTATGAACCAAGAGATCACAGGTTCAATTCTTGGTCAGGGCACATGCCTGAGTTTCAGGTTCCATCCTCATTGAGGGGTCTGCAGGAGGTGATGATGTTTCTCTCTCTAATCTATGTTTCTTTCCCTCTATTCCTCTCCTTTCCTCTTTCAATAAAAAAACCTATTACGAAAGCTTTAAAAGATACTTGGATGGTCTCCATGTCTTGGCCATTATGAATAATGCTGCAGTGAACATAGGGGTGCATATACCTTTGAAAAATTAATGTCCTCAAGTTTTTATGGTAGATATCCAGAAGAAGGATTGCTGGGCCACATGGTGATTCTGTTCTTAATTTTCTGAGGAACCGCCAACTGTTTTCCATAGTGGTTGTACTAACTTACATCCCCACCAGCAGCGAATGAGGGCTCCTGTGTCTGCACAACCTCTCCAGCACTTGTTTTCTTGTCTTTTTTCATAAGAGCCATTCTATCAGTGTAAGGTGATATCCCACTGTGATTTTGATTTGCATTTCCTTAATAGCTAGTGAAGTTGTCTGTCTTCTTGGGAGAGGTGTGTCTGTTCAGGTCCTCTGCCCACTTTTTTGATTGGATTGCTTGTTTGGTGTGGAGTTGTATGAGTTCTTCATATATTTTGGATATTAACTCCTTCTCAGAGCTGTTGTTGGCAAATATCAACTCCCATTAGAGTGGTTGCCTTTTTGTTTTGTTTTCTGTTTCTTTTGCTATGCGGAAGCTTTTTAGTTTGATATATTATAGTCCCATTTATTTATTTTTGCCTCCACTACCCTTGCCTTTGGGGTCAAACTCAAAATGGTCTCTATGACCAAGGTCCATAAGTTTAGTACCTACGGTGTTTCCCGAAAATAAGACATCCTCCGAAAATAAGACCTATTTACAGGTTTCCTTCTGAGTGAAATATAAGGCATCCCCCCAAAATAAGGTCCCCCCTAGGCTAAACATGAGAGATTTGGTCCACTGATTCTGAAAGAAATGGAGTCACAAGAAATTCACCAGGAAATTCAGGCCAACGCTCTATCCACTGGGCCAAACCATCTAGGGCTAGCTCTCTGTTGCATTTATTTTTTGTTTTCTATTTTATTTAATTCTGCTGTAATTTTTATTATTTCTTTTCTTCTGCTGATTTTGAGTTGCTTTTGCTTTTTCTAGTTAAGATGTAATGTTAGGTTGTTTACTTCGGATTTCTCTCATTATTGAGATGGGCCTATAATGATATTAACATCCCTCTTATTATACTTTTTTTTGCATCTCAGTCGTTTTGATATATCATATCCTTGTGTATCTCATCTTTTCATTTCTTCATTGACTCAGTCATTTTTTTTTTTAGTAGTATCTTGTTTATTCTCCTCATATTTGTGGGTTTGTTTACTTCCTTTTTGCTGTTGATCTCTAATTCTATGCATTATGGTCAGAGACTATGCTTGCTATAATTTCAACCCTGAATTTATTGAGGCTAGTATTGTGATACAACATATGGTCTATCCTTGGGATGTTCCATGTGCACTGGAGAAAAATCTATAATCTGATGTTCTGGGATGAAAGGCTCTGTAAATGTCAATTATGTCCATTTGGTATAATGTGTTATTTAAGAATGATATTTCTTTTTTCAAAATATTTTTTATTGATTTTAAAATTTTTTTTTTTTAATTTTTACAGAGAGGAAGGGAGAGGGATAGAGAGCTAGAAACATTGATGAGAGAGAAACATCAACCAGTTGCCTCCTGCACACCCTACTGGGGATGTGCCTGCAATCAAGATACATGCCCTCGACCGGAATCGAACCTGGGACCTTTCAGTCCGCAAGCTGACGCTCTATCCACTGAACCAAACCAGTTTCGGCAAGGATGATATTTCTTTATTGATTTTCTGTTTGGATGATCTATCTATGGCTGTCCTTAGAGTACTCAGGTCTCCAACTATGGTTCTATTTTTGTATGTTTCTCCTTTAGTTCTGTTAGTAGTAGCTTTATATATTTTTGCTCCCTGACTGCGTGCATATACATTAAGAAGTGTTATGTATTCTTGACCTAGTGTCCCCTTTATTGTTATAAAATGTCCATCTTTGTCTCTTACTACCTGTTATCATGAAGTCTATTTTGTCAGATATAATTATAGCTATACCTAGTATTCTGTGTATGTTAGTTTCTTGGAGAAATCATTTTCCACCCTTTCACTTTGAGTCTAACTTTGTGTTTGCAGCTTAGATGTGTCTCCTGAAGGCAACATATGGTTGAGTTTTGTTTTTTGATCCAATCTGCTACTCTGCCTCTTTTTTGGAGAATTCAGTCCATTTATATTTAGGGTAATTACTGATGTATGCATGTGCCCGACTGGGAATCAAACCAGCCACCATTTGGTGGATGACATGATGCCCAACCAACTGAGCCTCACCAGCCAGGGCAGAATATATTATTCTTGGCTGGTAATTTCTTTTTCATAATTTGAATATTTGGCTCCACTCTCTTCTGGCTTGTGGAGTTCCTGCTGAGAAGTCTGATGATAACCTAATGGCTTTCCTTTATAAGTTACTTTTTTCTTTTCCTTGGCTGCCTTGGGAATTCTTTCTTTGTTATTCATTTTTGACAGTTTTAATAATATGTGTCTTGGAAAAGGCTTCTTTGGACTGAGGTAACCAGGTGTTCTGTTTGCTTCTTGGCTTTGAGGATTTGTGTTTTTTTCCCAGAGGTTTGGGAAATTCTCATCAACTCCTTTTTTGAATAGGTTCTCCGTTCCCTTGTCCATGTGGAATAATTCGTGGAACATGGTATTGAACGTAAGTATTTATTTAATGAATGAACGAATCCCTTCACATTTAGATTTTTCAAGTAAATTATTCAGCAGTTGGCTAAAACAAAAACTATGGAGTCATTTAATAATATAAAATATACACCTACATGTCTCAACATGAGGTTAAGTCAATTTATATTTTTGTTTATTTTTTCAGACTTTCATACTTGCAGGCAGTGTTTATTAGAAGCACAGTATTTTAAACATCAGCTGTTAGGTTTTAATATTTAGCTTATTTTTAAATGGTAATTGTTGTTCAGGAAGTCATTCACTAAAAGGAAAATATTAAGATAGCAAGTTTTATGGAACAGGAAATGTTGATTCATTAAAAATACTATCTTAATTCATCACTTTTCGCTCATCTCAACACTTATTAATTCTAATTAAAATCATCAACTCTTTGTACCAAGTAGAACTAAAGAAGAACATCTGAATCGAAGAGTTCTCACTTCGATTGGAATCTGAGGAATTGGAACCTGGGAATCTGAGGCCTCGCTGAGCCTCCCAGAGTCATTATCACTGTGTGTCTATGGGCGAGACAAATCCGCTGTTGTTGTTGATGGCTACGTGAAGTGCTTCCTCCAGTCTTTCCATAGTAGAATATTTAGGGAGGTCCAGGATACTATGACATACGAGTGGTCTTGGGTAATCCCTTTCACTCAACGTTTCAGAACAGCGAAATCTGATCCTCATTTCTTGTAATCCTCTTGCAGTCTGCCTATCGTTTCCTGTAAGAAAAACTGGAAAAGAATCTTTGTTTAAGATATTCCTTAGTGCCCAGCTGGCATGGCTCAGTGATTGAGCATCGACTTATGAACCAGGATGTCATGGTTAAATTCCTGTTTAGACACATGCCTGGTTTGATCCCCAGTGTGAGTGTGCAGGAGGCAGCTGATTGATAATTCTCTTTCATCATTGATATTTTTATCTCTCCCTCTCACTTCCTCTCTGAAATAAAAAAAAAAATATATTAATAAAAAAGGATATTCCTTAGAAAGAGCAAAATCTATACTAATAAAAGGGTAATATGCTAATTAGGGTGGACATCCATCCAGACAAAGCCATAACAGCTGCAAGGCCTGGGATTCACGGCAGCCGTGTACCCCAGTGGCTTCAAGGCCTGGGTTTCAGGCAGCCATGAGGTCTGGCAGTTACCATCATCACTGGTTATTGCTATTATTATTATTTCACTGGTCTGGCAGTGGCAGCAGCAGCAGGGTGATGGGGGCGTCATCTTCCCCTGATTGGCCCAGTTGCCTCCTGCAGAGGGAGGCCAGACTGTGAGGAGTGAGTCTAAGCCGTCAGTAGGACATCCCCTGGGGGCTCCCTGACTGTGAGAGGAGGCAGGCCGGGCTGAGGGACCACTCCCTCCAATGCACGAATTTTGTGAACCAGGCCTCTAGTCTATACTAATAAAAAGGTAATATGCTAATTAGATTGTACATCCTTCTGGACAAAGCCACAAGGGCAGGGGCCGAGGCAGAGGCAGTTAGGGGCGATCAGGCTGTCAGGGTAGGGCAATTAGGGATGATCAGGCCAGCAGGGGAGCAGTTAGGGGGTGATCAGGCTGGTAGGCAGAGGTAGTTAGGGGTTAACAGGCAGGCAGGCACGCGAGCACTTAGAGCCAGCTGTCCCAGATTGCGAGAGGGATGTCAGACTGCTGGTTTAGGCCTGATCCTATAGGTTCTGTCCGTAAACCAGCAGTCAGACATCCCCTAAGTGTCATGCACTGGGCCTCTAGTTTAAAATGAAAAGGAAGAAATTAGTCACTTGATTCAGTAAATATTTACTGAATACTCTTGTGTGGAGAGAACTACCTGAGACTATGTGGAGCATAGAAAAATCATGACATCTGGTCTTTGTCCTCACTGAGTTCATAGTCTAGTTGGGGGGAAATTACATATAGTTGACACTTGAACAGCATGGGTTTGAAGTGTGTGTGTGTGTGTGTGTGTGTGTGTGTGTGTAATAGAAAGTACGTGTTAGTCTATTGTTTATATTATCAGTAAGGCTTCTGGTCAACAGTAGGCTATTAGTAGCTAAGTTTTGGGGGAGTGAAAGATATACAGAGACTTTCCATTGTGTGTGTGGGCTGGGATCAGTGTCCCTAACCCCCAGGTTGTTCAAGGGCCAACAGCACATGAAAAGATAATAGCAAGGTACAGGGAGGTTTATTTTAGCACAGCCAAGAAGTATGAGGTGAAGAGCCTGAGGAAAGCCCTAAAACAGGGCAGGGAGGGAAGGGCCAGGCTGGGGTAACTGGGGAGACTCCAGAGGTCACATCTGGCTAATTGTCAAGGAGAAGAGTTGAGTGGGATGGGGAGGAACCCTAGGAAAAATGCCTGAAATAGGAAGATGTACATGAACTCACTGAATGTATAGACCTGAATGTACAGTAAAGGAACCACTGGGCTGAAGTACATGTTCCCCATTTAGAGAGCATACTGGAAAGGTAGTTTGGGTTTGTGGAGAAGTAGTAATTGTCCTCCAGCTTCCTCAGTAGCAAAGAAATAGCAAGAAGAAAGAGGAGCTGAAAAACGGGATAAAGAGGTGAGAGAATGTCATTGTGGTAGGGGAACCTTATGGTTCCCACTAGGAAACGTTTGTATAGCCCAAGGACACAGAGCCTAGTGGTCAATAGCCTGGGTTTTAGATCAGCCGGCAGTGTTCAAATTCTGGTTCTGACACTAACCAGGTATCTGAACATAGGAAGCTACGAATGCTCCAACCCTCTTTTTCCTCAGATGGAGAAAATAAGTACCTCCTCATTAGGTTGCTATTGGGACAAAGGGTGTTAATAGATACAACGTGATCAGTACAATGGCTGGCATAGAGTAAGCATACAATAAATGCTGTTACCATCATCACTGGTCATTGCTATTATTATTATTTCTAAAATAAATATTAGAGGCAGTTTACATTGCCTTAATTCCATAGGACTTAGATTATTGACTGAAGGTAAGATAAAAAGGCTTGATTAGGAGCCAACTAGAATGAGGAAAGTGGATGCAAACTAAAATTGGATTTGGGATTAGAGTCAGTGTTGAGACGGGAGTAAAATAGTGATATCTTTATTATAATTTTTTAAAATGGGGAACAGGCTTAGGTAAGAGAAAAACCATTGGTCCAGAAGGAACTTGGATTATAACCTTTGTGTTGCCATTAACACACTTGATCTACCACAAATAAGATATTTATCTTTTTTAAATATATATATATATATATATATATATATATATATATATAGAGAGAGAGAGAGAGAGAGAGAGAGAGAGAGAGAGAGAGAGAGAGATCCTTCTGTTACCGTAATACTTACAGAGGAATTTTTTCTTTTCATCCAGAGTTAATCTGTGGAAAGCTTTCCAAAACATCTGTATAGTAGGATGTGATTCATGGTATTCTTGCTCATATATTGAATTCTTGAGGAAAAAGAGGGAGAAAATGGGTTTTAGGGGGGAACATTTAAACATATTTCAGAAGAATTGGGGGCACTTAGTTATTACTGACCTTTTCAAATTGTTTCCAGTCATAATCAGTATTTCCAATTATTGCTGTCCTTAGTTCTTCAGGGTGGAAAAGTCCAAGTATCTCTTTGTCACAGACTTTATAAAATCCTCTCTGAAATTCCTTATAAACGGCCTCTACGGAAGTGTTGAAAATGTAATCAACACACTGAGAAACATAATCGGTCCTTGAAGGAAACAAACAAACAAAAAAGTCCAATAACATACTTCATCAGTGCCCAAAATATTCTTGATTCTTGCCCTTTTTACCATTTCTATTAAGAAAGAAAAGTAAATTCCTTTTGCTTAGCACACAACTTATTACTACTCTAAGATATAAAAAACATCTGATCAGCTAGAAGAAGGAATCTTGGAGCATATTAGCAGAGGGAATAAGACTTTGTTTTTCTCCCATTTTCCTAGCTGCAGACAGGATCATATTTTAAAAACACTAAAACATTCCATTCTCCTGCTTAAAAACTTTTAAAGGCTGAGCGCAACCGCCATAGCAGGATAAAAAAGCCCTTCGTAATCTGACCGTTACGCTACTCTCCAGCCTCTTCCCACTTGCATTTGAATCTCTGGCCTCACGGACGCTCTTGTAGTAGGGCCATAGCTAGGCAGTGCTTTCCCCTTTCCTACAACTTTTATCACTCACCAATATGAGTATGTCTTTCTCAGGATTGGTCCTCTGTTCCTCTGTCCCTCCACACTTACATGTCATTGTGTGAAAATTATTTATGTCCTCTCCGCTACATGAAGAATTTCCTGATGGCAGGGTTGCTACTGGAGGTATTTCCACCAGAAACATGATAGTCTCGCCCTAACTAGTTTTGCTCAGTGGATAGAGTGTCAGCCTGCAAGACTCAAGGGTCCTGGGTTAGATTCCAGTCAAGAGCACGTAGGTTGGTTGTGAGCACATACCCAGTAGGGAGTGTGCAGGAGGCAGCTGATTGATGTTTCTCTCTATCCCTCTCCCTTCCTCTCTGTAAAACAATCAATAAAATATATTTAAAAAAGAAAAGAAAAGAAACATGATAGTTTCCCACCCCTTGAGTCTCCTTCCTAGACTATCCTATCTATATTAACCTCTCTCTGCCCTCCTCTGTAATTGTTGGCATGCTGGTAAATATTTAAAAATCAGTTATCCGAAGGGAAAGAGAAAAAGGAAATGCTCATTGGTAGCATTTGACAATTTCTGTGGTGTAAATATTCCCACCATGGCTGATTTCAAGCTACAAAAACTCTAATAATAAACTCTCAACATTTTTTGAAAATTTAACAGTCAATCAGCTCTCACAAGCTGGTACCAGCTGCCTCCAGCATACCTCCAACCTGTAACTCTAATCTCTTAATTGGATTTAATTTTCTTCAGAGTACTTATCCTTATCTGACATTGTAATACATAATAATTTATTCTTATATTGTCTTTCAGTCCCACTGGAATTTAAGCTCTATATTTTGTCTGTCTTTTTCACTGCTATAGCTCCAGCACCTAGAATAGAGTCTAGTACATAGTAGGGGCTATTAAATGAATAGTGAAAAGTGCTACAAAGGAAATATTTAATTCTGATTCCTTTTTCCTCTTCTCTTACCCTATAACTGTTTTATCTTTCTAAAAGATGAGGAACTAAAATGATCATCTGAGAAGCTAAAATACATTTATAAAGTAAAGTGACATAAACATTTTATGTTTACTCAAAGCATATATTCTAAGTCTCAAAACTTACTTGTTGGTTTGGTCCACAGGTATAGAGATCCCATTTGGAATTAAATCAACATTATGTTGGTCCCATCGTAGCTGTAATATATTCAGGTAGCACACATGAAAGAAAGTCTTAATAATTAACCATATTACCATTATTGACAATTTATAGCATATCCAAAAAATGAATACACATTTTAACAGCTGATAGCTCAATTAATGTCTCTTTGTTTTCAGATTTACCCCATTGGAATGAATAATTATTCCAAGTGTGTATACATTTTTTTGGGACACTCTGCGGTCCTCCCTAACACAATTTAAATTACTGGGAGCTAAACAATTATTTATGCAGTTCAGCCTTTTAAATACATAAAAAATTTAAAAACCTACCCTAGTGTATGTTATAAGTTGCTTTTAAGCATACATTGGTCCATTTAGTTATTTACATAGATACAAAATGAGGAGCAGGTAGGGAGAAAGTCTTACAGTACAGAAGTAAAGTACCATTCAAAAAAGGAATCCCATATTTGAGATATTATAATAAAATTATTTTTTAAAAAGACTAAAGCTAAAATATACTGTGAACCCTGAGAAAGAAGATAACTGGCTAAATTAAACACACACACACACACCCCAGCTTAGCAGCTGTTTCTACACAGGGACATGTCATGCAAACTGAACTTAAGGGAGAAGCTTGCACTGAACTACCAGCTTACACCATGTTTCTGCCATCTGAGCCAGCCCTTTTAAAAGAGCTCCTGGAATCCTATTTTATCCAATAGGATTGAGGCTTTCTCCGTCCAATTGGAGCTGCACAACAATATCCCCATCAACATCTTCACGGACCAACCAGGGCAGTGCCTTTTGGACCAAGCCAACTGTGAGCATATGGACTCCTCATTTGTATAAGGATGGATCAATCAGGGACCAGGGCTGGGGACTTCTGTCTACATAAGCCAGCCCCTCTTTGGCTGGGGGAGTGCACTTTCCCTTTCCACTGAAGACAGAACTATGTTTCCCAGGCCGAGCTGAACACCGAAGGTGTCTCACTGGAGCGGAGCGGAGCAGACCAGCACAGACAAAAGCAGACTGCACAGAATGGAGCAGGCCAGAGCAGAGCAAAGCAGGGAGCCCAGCCCAAAGCAGACCAGAGCAGAGCACACCAGTGAGGAGGAACAGGAGAGCAGAGCAGAGCTGATTAGCAGAGAGGGGCCTGGCCCCAGGGCTGCCTCAAAGCCACGCTGTTTTCACAGCTGTGCTTATATCAGTTGAGCGGTTTTGCACACCAAGTTGGGAATCCCTGTTGGCACCGAATTGGCACCAATAACCATGGGTTGACAGTACTCACAGAAAAATACATGCAAAGTGCTTCTCCAATGTCATCAGCCTCATAATTGAGAACTTCTTGCAAACTCCTAATGAAAATTTTGATTTAAAATGTTTATTTATTGTTCTTATTAACATTTCAAAAGTTAATAAATGTTCAATGGAAAAATTGGGGGCACTATAGAAATGTATAAAATACCATGTGAATTTCCTCTCCTGCACCTTCCCACTCCCTCTTCTTAGAGTTAACCTCTATTTACAGTTTGACTGCTTGAACCACTGCCAACACAGACACTGCTGTGTCTTGGTAGAAGTTTCAATAAAAAGCCCCTGCCTGTAGGCCAGTGGTCGGCAAACTCATTAGTCAACAGAGCCAAATATCAACAGTACAACGATTGAAATTTCTTTTGAGAGACACATTTTTAAACAACTTCTTCTAATGCCACTTTTTCAAAATAGACTCGCCCAGGCCGTGGTATTTTGTGGAAGAGCCACACTCAAGGGGCCAAAGAACCGCATGTGGCTCGCAAGCTGCAGTTTGCCGACCACTGCTTTAGACCAGTGATTCTCAACTAAGGTGATTTTCCAGGACCCCCCACCCCCGCCCCCATTGGATATTTGGAAAAATCTGGAGACATCTTTGGTTGTCATAATTAGAGGAGGGTTACAAAACAAAAAAGCAACTAGAGGGTTGCTACTGGCATCTAGTGGATAGTAAGCCCATACGCAGCTTAACATCCTACAATACCCTGAACAGCCTTCTACAACAAAGGATTATCCAGACAAAAATGCCAGGGGTTTCTCAACCCCTGCTCAACACTGACACTACAGGGCATACAGTATAAATCTACCTAGTTTGTTCTTCCACTAACAGTACATGAGAATCCCTTTCCCCAGTCTGTCTGTCAACTCTGTATTTTATGAAATACCTTTTGATAGTTGTCAATCTATAAAGCGAAAAATGACTTTTCATTTTCATTTGTATTTCCTCAATTACTAGTAAGGTTGAGCATATTTTAATTTTTTTAAAAATGTATTTTATTAATTTTTACAGAGAGGAAGGGAGAGAGACAGAAAGTCAGAAACATCGACCAGCTGCCTCCTGCATATCCCCACACTGGGGATGTTCCCGCAACTAAAGTACATGCCCTTGACCGGAATCGAACCTGGGACCCTTCAGTCCGCAGGCCAACGCTCTAACCACTGAGCCAAACCAGTTCTGGCCTATTTTCATTTTTTGATTAACCATATACTAGTATATACATATGTGTGATGATACATATACAAGGGTTGACAAAAGTAGGTTTGCAGTTGTGAGCACGTGAAACACTGAGTTTATTTATTATTATCTTAGTGTTATTATTTTGTATCCTTACTTATGATTTATATTTTAGATAATGATGGCTGGTAACTTAACCTACTTTTGCCCAGCTCTGCATATTTATACATCAGAGATACTAATCCTTTGTCTATCATATGTTGCCAGCATTTTCCTCACAGAATATAGTTTGCCTTTTAACTTAGAGCAAGCATTTTTCAACCCTTAAAAATAAGTTGATGACATGCTGAGTTCTTTAAATAAAGTAATACAATTTATTCAAAATAAATATAGTACGCTTGATTCGCATTAAGAATACTGTGTACTGCTGAAACCGGTTTGGCTCAGTTGATAGAGCGTCGGCCTGCAGAACGAAAGGTCCCAGGTTCAATTCTGGTCAAGGGCATGTGCCTTGATTGTGGGCACATCCCCAGTAGGGGGTGTGCAAGAGGCAGCTGATCTATGTGTCTCTCTCATCGATGTTTCTAGCTCTCTATCCCTCTCTCTTCCTCTCTGTAAAAACTCAATAAAATATAGAAGAAGAAGAAGAAAAAGAAGAAGAAGAAGGAGGAGGAGGAGGAGGAGGAGGAGGAGGAGGAGGAGGAGGAGGAGGAGGAGGAATACTGTGTACTGTCTAAAGCAACTTTCCATGTGGATAAACTGAAGACACCAGGCATTGTTTATTGTACTGGTCAATAATTAGAGGAACATTTGGCCTTTTTCCAGTGTTTAAGATTTACTTGGTTATAAGTCATGCTAAAATTCTAATTCATCTAAACAGCATACATTTATTGAAATTGAAGGCCTTTTGTGTGTCTGTGTCTTTGTGTGGAATATCATTTATGCTGAGACAACTAAGACTTACTAGATAGAGTCCTAGAGAAACATTTACTTACTTTCCCAAACGGGGACTGAGTTCTTTTAAATCTTCCAATGATGGTCTTTGGTCCAGAAGTTTCTTAAACAGAGCCAGTGGGAAAGGAATATGGGCAACATTTGAATGGTACAGGGAGAGTCCACACAGGATCCCAAAGAGGAAATATCTCTTCTTATTATAGTTAGGCTAGAAAGGAAGAAGGAGAAAACAACAATGAACAGCTGTAATGTATTACAAATAATCAATAATCAATAATCACTGGGAAATTAAATTAGCAAAAAATGTTTTTGGTTCCCTTTTCTAAGAATCACAAATTAGAAACAAAAGGGGTTTTCAAGAAAATAAAAATTTGAGGTTTTTACTCTGGCTGTATTACAGTTCAAAGTTCTTCCATAAGTTTAAAAAAATATATTTTATTTGATTTTGTACAGAGAGGAAGGGAGAGAGATAGAGAGTTAGAAACATTGATGAGAGAGAGTCATCGACCAGCTGCCTCTTGCACACCCCCTACTGGGGATATGCCCGCAACCAAGGTACATGCCCTTGACCGGAATCGAACCCGGGTCCTCCAGTCCCCAAGCCGACGCTCTATCCATTGAGCCAAACTGGTTTCGGCAAAGTTCTCCCATAAGTTTAAATACAAATTAGGAGTTCACAATATTAAATAAGTGAGTTTACTTTTTGTTAGTGACAGCATATCTAGAATATTAAAAAACACGCTCAGCTAACATAAACTAAGATTTTCCACACTTAATTTTACGTCTTTGCCTTTAAATTCATGTAGAAAAATGACATTGCGGAAGAAAGGATGAACTTTATTTGAGCAGGCATCAGACATGCCAGATGTGTGTCAGATGAGTGATGTACCTTCGGCAATATAACCCTCAACCAAGGTGTCCTTACACGGAAAAGCGTATGGGTCAGGGAAGGTGAGTGGAAGGAAGGAGAGAGTCGTGATGATTTTGGCTTCACTCTCCTCTCTGCACTGGCCACATCTGGCCAGACTCTCACTACAGCCCCACCAAGAGATCACTAACCTAATTCTTTTAAGATGTCTATTCCAGCAACAGCCTTGTTGTTAGTAGGTACATGACTCTGGGCCACAATCTACTTGTCCTATTTTCTTCTTAGAGTAATGGTGAGGATAAATGTTAAAATGTCTTTGATTTTTGAAAACGAGTTAAAAATAACAATACAAGTATACTCCAAAGGTAGCCTCCTTTAACCTGTTCAGTTTTTATTTCCTATGTCTATAATGTGTCCCCTGGGTCCTGTTGATTTAGTCTCTTCACTGAGCCATACATGAATCAGACTTTTGTTTGTTTTCTATCCAGCAGTATAACCCAATGCTTAAGGGTAGGGGGTTTGGCTTGGCCAGTGTTATTCAGTGGTCGAGTGTCCGCCTATGAACCAGAAGGTCATAGTTTGATTCCTGGTCAGGGCACATAACTGGGTTTTGGGCTCAATTGCCAATAGGGGGCATGCAAGAGGCAACCGATCAATGATTCTCTCTCATCATTGATGTTTCTCTCTCCTCTCCCTTCCTCTCTGAAATCAATAAAAAATATATTATTACAAAGAAGAGTAATGGCTTTGACTAGTCCTGAATCCATATTCCAGTTTAGTTGGATGTTCGTAGTTTGTTTAATCTCTGAACCTTTTTTTACCCTGTAAAATGGGGACAAACTATCTATCTCACGGAGTTGATGGAAGGTGTCAGCAGTATGCTATTAGTTGTGTTTGGAGAGTCAAAAGTTAAACACAGACTTTCCATTGTGTATGGAAGAAAGGGATCAGCACCCCTAAACCCCAGGTTGTTCAAAGGTCAGCAGTACATCCCTTGCTTGCATCTCTTGGATCTATTTTGTCCCTGTCTTTCAACATCAACCTTAGGTGTCCATTTTTCCATTACACTTTCTCCAATTACTTCAGTTCCCCTTGATTCCTTTCTCTCTAGTAAAGAATCCCTAAAATTTGGGTAGTGCCCTAAAGTTTTCCTGGCGCTTTCACATTTGTATATATGCCTTGTCTTTTTTTATTTTCACAACAGCCCTGTAAAGCAGGCAGAACAGAAATTATGACAGCCATTTTATAGGTGAGGAAACCGAAAACTCAGAAAAGCTAAATGACTCACCCACCATCACTCGAGATTACAACTCTGGGCTTCCAATTCTACATCAGTGCATCTTTCCCTACCCTCCCATGCCCAACCACGATTACACATAGTCAGCTATCCAAAATTTAGAAACAATTGCTAAAGTTCATGGTGTTTTAGTCTTATCACTCCATCTACAAATACAAAAAGAGGAAAGGGATTGTGTTGTATTCTAATTTGAATCACTCACAATATTTAATACAATGTGGAGTCTCAAGAAATAGTCAATAAAAACTTGTTGTTTGACCCATAAAAATCCTATTTGTACACATTAGCCATTTCTACTTTTTTAGAAGTTCATTCTTTCTCAAAAAGATACAGATCACTTTTCAGTACTTTTCCATACCCACTCATCTTTCTCTTCCTTTTCCCTCTCCAAATTTGTACTGTGGGAAGAACACTTGGAAATTTATCAGGAAGTGGATCCATAAATTAGGGCTCAACATGATTCTTCATAGAATTATTTTCTCTATGTTTCCAATAGAGAAACGAAGACAAATATTTTTGTTATTTTAAGAAATGCTTACATTTTGAGGATCCTTGTAAAAATATAATCATTGCAGAAATGAACCACCTTATTAGAGTTAGCAATTATCTCTAGGATTATATTAATAATTTCTCTTCTTACAGAAACATTCTAGATTACTGCCTCTCAAAATTTAGGAAACCAACCAAATATCCATCAGAAGTGACTGGATGAGCAACATGTAGCATATCCATACAATGGAATACTAATCAACAATAAAAGGGAATGGTTACATTCAACAACATGCTTGAGTCTCAACACAGTTATGCTGAGTGAAAGAGGACAGACACAAAGACTACGTATTATTCCATTTAGGAAAAATTTTAGAAAATTCAAAGTACTCTATAGTGACAATTGTTGCCTGGGCATGGAATGGGGGGCACTGAAGGCATAGTAGCAGGGGAGGAGTAGGGTTAGAAAGGGAAACAAGAAAACTTTGGGGGATGATGCGTAGGTTCATTATCTTTTTTAAAGATACATTTTTATTGATTTCAGAGGGGAAGGGAGAGGGAGAGAGCGATAAAAACATCAATGATGAGAGAGAATCATTGATCTATTGCTTCCTGCATGCCCTACACTGGGGATAGATTCTGCAACCTGGGCATGTGCCCTGACTGGGAATCAAACTGTGAACTCTTGGTTCACAGGTCAATACTCAACCACTGAGCCCTGCTGGCCAGGCTATGTTCATTATCTTGATGATAGTGAGAGTTTCATGGGTATATATGTATATCAAAACTTATCAAATGGGAAGATCTATGTGCTGTTTATTGTATCTCAAGTGTACTTCATTAAAGCTGTTTAAAAGTATTAAGTGCGCCGAAACCAGTTTGGCTCAGTGGATAGAGCATCGGCCTGTGGACTGAAAGGTCCCAGGTTCGATTCCGGTCAAGGGCATGTACCTTGGTTGTGGGTACATCCCCAGAAGGGGTTGTACAAGAGGCAGCTAATCGATGTTTCTAACTCTCTATCCCTCTCTCTCTTCCTCTCTATAAAAAAAATCCATAAAATATATATAAAAATAAATAAAAATATAAAGTGCATATAAATACCTGAGGATATTATAAACTACGCAGGCCTGAGATTCTGCTTTTCACAAGTGTTGCTGGAGCTGCAGCTCTGTGGACCATATTTAGAGTAGCAAGGCTCTCTAGGATCTAATTTTACATTATTTATTTACTTAAAATAGTGTCACTTTTAAAACTTGATTTTAGAGAGGGAGACAGGGAAGGAGAGGATCAATATGAAAGAGATAATATTGATTGGATTAGTTGCCTCCCCTGCATGTCTGATCATGCCTCAACGTGGATGGCAACCACAACCTAGGTATGGCCCCTGACTGGAAATCAAATTCATGACCTTCCAGTGCAAGGATGATGCTCCAACCAACTCAGCCCCACTGTCCAGGACCTAATTTTACATGATTATGTATGGTTCTCGTGTTATAGTATATGGTATGCTTTTTCTATTCTGAAAAAAAAAAGAAAATAAATAGAAGACTCACACTGATAGGAAACCACATGTAGGAACCCTCTTCAGGATATATGAACATTCCATATTCTGTCTTGGTCATCTTTTCAAATATGAAGTGGAAGAACTCGGACTTTACCCCAACACCCATGGAACAAATTTCGTCAATAAATTCAATCTGAGGAAAGAGAGAGAACACACCCAGAGTTAAAATATAATGCCTTGACCTTTTGTAGAAAAGTTTCAAACCTCCTGCAGTCACCAGAATTCCCAGACTCTCACATCCCTCACTCCACCGCAATCTGTTCTCCCTCCATTTGCTACGGAGCAGCAGCTGCCATGAGTCTATTTATAGTCAGATTGTTGTATACTGAGTGCATGGGGCCATTACACTGCCACAGGAACCAAATAAAGGGGATGCTAGCAAGACTCAGCATTCACCAGTTATGTTGACCAGTGTCTTAAACCCAATTTTCATGTGCTTTATTCCTCTGGGCCACTAAATCCCCTGATTCTTCTATCTTGTTCTCTGTCTTCATCGCATCATTCAGATTTTACAGCTTTGGCTCCACTCAACAACTATTTGATTTCTCCCACCTCTCCTCTCACTAGGACTTTTGATAGAAGCCCGTCCAGGCAGCTTGGGCATGGCATCTTTCCAGGAACCATGGGCTCTAACTGCCTGTATGACTTGTGTGGGAAATCAATAGGAACTAGTTGCTCTTTCCTAAAGTCCACTTTTGGACTTGGTGGCTAAGTACAAATCCCACTTTTTCTCTCTACTCCCTCTCTACTTCCTTTCCCGGATAATTTCTTTTTATCTCTTTAGTACAAGCATCACTAAGCTTGATTAAGAGTTCTCTTTTTGCCTGGAAGATCTTATCTATTGCCACTATGATCAGCTGATTCCTTGGCCCTAGACGGTCATCTCCAAGGGCCTGCCTCCCATTCCATCTGGATATCCCAATAACAAATTAAGCTTACTTCTGATTTCCTCATTTCTGCTCATTTACCCTAGCAAGTCTGCCTCTGCCGGGGTCAGCACACACTCATAATGGCCCTTGGCAGCCTTGCCTTCTTCAAGGTCTATATTTTGATCAGATCTTTCTTACTTTCTTACCTATTTATCATCTCCTGTAGCCTTTTCAATTCATTTCTGCATAATCAAGATGTAAAGGGAAGCAGGTACAGAGGGAGACATACAACTAGGAAGTCTGGCTTATGAAATATTTTGTTTCCCATTGGAGTCCCATGCTGAGAAATATCCCTCTCCTGTGTGAGTCTCATCCTCCAGGTTCTGGCTTTTTCTCTGAGAACCTAACGCATCCCCTCAGGGCTGATATCAAGAAAATCTACTCCTTTCTGAACAAACTCCAGCTAGAACCTAGAGTTAGTCATTATTTTGTAGCCTCAATAAGGCTAATAATCTGAGGTATCACACAATACAATTCCTACAGGTGCCCACAAAGGATGAAGTGAAGGATAGTTAGAACCAATGTCGTAGTGGAAGTAAAAGTAGAGCCAAAAGTATCTGTTCCCCCTACTGCCTGTGGATTGCATTGACAGCCCCATTGCTTCGCCCCTCCTTGACCCAAGTCTTTTGCATGTGACTTGGCAGTTCCGCCCATTAAAGAGGCTGAGTATATTTCACCAGCTCTTGATATATGTTCAGCCATATGACTTGCTTTGACTAAAGCAATGTTTGTTGTGTGACTGGGCTTGTTATTTTGTACCTCTGGCACTGTTGTGAGAAGAACATCTTGCTGGTCCCAGGAAGAAGATGAAAAAACAGGAAGCAGAGCCAAACCTCCCCAGCTAGGCCTCGCCCAAATCAGTCTATCCCTAGCCAACTCCCAAACATGTTAACAGTTCATAATAGCCATAGGTAACTAGTTAATTTATAATTCCAATGTTCAATTAAACATCCCATTGCTTTTCTCTGGAATTCTGGAAGTCATAAGACTGATAACTATAGTTGCAAATGCAGGCTCTTCCTTTGCTACATTAAATAAATGCTTCTCTCCCACATTAGCAAAAATGTTCAATGAAACTTTTTTAACGGTACCACCAATTTTTTCCGAAGGTCAGTGTCTTCCGCTATGTTTAATTTATGCAGAGCATCATCAACCAGGTGACTTCGTCTGATTCGAAGTAAAAATTGGGGTGGTGGAGGGAATTCATTCTTCCCTAGTGAAATCATATACGCAATTTGTGACTCCTAGAAAAAGAAATATTTTAGGAATCTTCACAGGAATATTAGGAAATACTTATCATTTCAGATAAATCCATTTTATCTAACATACAATTATGCCTACCATTGCTATATATGCTCATATTGTAATAATTTAAGGAAAAGAGCATCATATGTACACTATGGAAGCTAAAAGGGTATCTAGGAATTTTGTACAAGGGATTTATCATCATGGATGTATAGCTAAGAAATGAAAAGCTATCTCTGAGCACTTATTTAGTAAACATGATCCTTTTTTTAAAAAATATGTTTATTGATTTTTTACAGAGAGGAAAGGAGAGAGATAGAGAGCTAGAAACGTCGATGAGAGAGAAACATCAACCAGTTGCCTCTTGCACACCCCCTACAGGGGATGTGCCCGCAACCAAGGTACATGCCCTTGACCGGAATCGAACCTGGGGCTTTTCAGTCCGCAGACCGACGCTCTACCACTGAGCCAAACCGGTTTCGGCTAAACATGATCCTTAAAAGCAATAGTGGTCTTTGCCATGCAGGTACATTCTCCCACCAGTTTTTAAGAAGAGTGTTGGCACAATAATTCTCAAAAATGTACAGGCAATTTAGAAGCTCAGGGATAATGTGAGATGTAGAAAACAGACTAGAGGAAAGACTTGCTCAGAGAAAATTGTTCTCTGTTACCCTACAAAGTACTTCCATTAAGCTTTTCTAAATTCTCAACGTGCCCTCACCATTTTAGCTCCCTGCTCTTGTTTCTGCTCAACTCCCTTGGATTAGAAATCTAGTGTTGGAATTACTATCCTTGCTTTGACCTTTAACTTTAGCGCAAGGACAATAAAAGAATATTTAGGTCTCATAAACCAATGCCACCATTGTGACAGCAAGACAGGTGGTAATCACTATCCTATTCCAGGTTTTCGGACTGTGTGTGGTTGCCCATATTGGCACTCTCAGAGCATCTCAGAGAAGTTGCATGCATATGGCTCTGGGCTTGGGAAGCTCTGTCCCAGATCTGTGCTACTGAGAAATCATATGTGATTCCACTAGATTCTTCTGGTTTTCCCCTAGGATCTTTGTTGTAAAGAACCTCCATATGCCGAAACCGGTTTGGCTCAAGGGATAGAGCGTCAGCTTGGGGACTGAAGGGTCCCAGGTTCGATTCCAGTCGAGGGCATGTACCTTGGTTGCGGGCATATCCCCAGTAGGGGGTGTGCAAGAGGCAGCTGATCGATGACTCTCTCTCATCGATGTTTCTAACTCTCTCTCTTCCTTCCTCTCTGTACAAAATCAATAAAAATATATATTTAAAAAAAAAAAAGAACCTCCATAGCCCTAGCTGGTTTGGCTCAGTGGATAGAACATTGGCCTGCTGACTGAAAGGTCCCGGGTTCAATTCAGGTCAAGGGCACATGCCCGGGTTGCAGACTTGATCTCCAGTAGGGGATGTGAAGGAGGCAACTGTTCAATGATTCTCTCTCATCATTGATGTTTCTATCTCTCTCCCTCTCCCTTCTTCTCTGAAATCAATACAAATATATTAAAACAAATAAACAAACGAAACAAGAAGCTCCACATTTGTAGGGAGATGGAACAAGTGCCACTTCTGGTCCTTTCTGGTGGTGGGTCCTCTCCTCCTGTGGCCTTGGAATCTGCGACTCTGGGACACTTCAGCAATATTGACTGCAAAGCTGCATGTCCTGTGGCTCTGAGTGCCAGGGAGTGGCCAGCAACATCCTGCACTGACTGTAACAGGGGAAGGTGTATGCGTCCTGGTGTTGGCCAGGCTTCTCTCACATACCCAAGAACTGGACTTGAAACCTGTATATCTTATTTTCCAGTTTCTCTATTCCCATTCTCCATGTATTGGTTTCCTATTTCTACATTTGTGCATTTTATTGATAACCTAGTTTGGAGCTTATAGTTTTTACTACATCCATCATCTCTCCTCTGGAGGACAGAATCGTGTAACCTGCTTTGTGACTTCACCCATGACAACCACAACTAAGAATTTTCTTTTCTTCAAACATTTCCCAATTCTTCATAGATGTAACTTGCCTGGGTCCACTATCCACTCGACCCTCAATAACAGAGTAGACAGGTTAGAAAGAAATTTTCTACAGAAGAAAATAATGTAGAGGGAAAAGTTTTGCTCACAGGGAACTTAAGGAAACGTTAGGAAGGAAAGATTTAATCTATTTTCTCCCAATACCAGGAATGTCAGGAAAATTGAAAAAGGAAAAAAGAGAGAGAGAGAGAGAGAGAGAGAGAGAGAGAGAGAGAGAGAGAGAGAGAGAGGGAGGGGTGGCTGGGAAATAGAAGTGAGGACCAAGCCAATCTGCTGAAAGACACTAATAAAGTAACTAAAGGGAGATTCCTTAACTATGGAATGCTTTTAGCAGGATGTACTTTGTCCCTCTAGGTTGATTAGCCTATCTAATAAAAGAGCAATATATGCAAATTAACATCACTCCAACACACAAGATGGCTGCCCCCATGTGGACACAAGATAGCCGCCACAAGATGGCCAGCAGGAGTGGGCAGTTGGGAGGGACCAGACCTGCAAGGAAGGGCAGTTGGGGAGATCAGGCCTGCAAGGGAGGAAAGCTGGGGGCAACCAAGCGTATAGGGGAAGGGCAGTTTGGGGGGACCCAGGCCTGCAGGGGAGAGCAGTTGGGAAGAACCAGGCCTGCAGGGAAAGGCAATTGGGGGGAACCAGGCTGGCAGAGGAGGGAAGTTGGGGTGAGTGGGCCTACAGGGAAGGATAGTTGTGCAGGACCCAGGCCTGCAGGGGAGGGCAGTTGGGGTGGGGGAGCAGGCCTGCAGAGAAGGGCAGTTAGGGGCAAACAGGCTGGCAGGGGAGCAGTTAGGCATCCATCAGGCTGGCAGGGGAGAGGTTAGGGGGTGATCAGGCTGGCAGGCAGAAGTGATTAAGGACAATCAGTAAGGCAGGTAGGTGAGCAGTTGGGAGGCAGTAGTCCTGGATTGTGAGAGGGATCCCAGATTGGAGAGGGTGCAGGATGGGCTGAGGGACACCCCCCCTGTGCACAAATTTCATGCACCGGGCCTCTAGTTATTAATAAGCTGGGACATCTAAGTTATTAATAAGCTAGAGGCCTGGTGCCCATAAATTTGTATACTGTCGGGGGTGGGGTTTCCCCTCAGCCCAGCCTGTGCATTAAGTCTGAAAGCCCTCAGGGGATGTCTGACTGAAGGCCACAGTCTGGCCTCCCTCTGTGGGAGGTGATCAGCAGGGCGATCGGGGGACAGCACTGGCTGGTGAGCTGCTGGCTCTGCCCCCCAATCACTCCTCTGCCACTGCCTGTTGTTGCCACCCCCTACTCGCCATCCCCTCCCTCTGCCTGCTGGCACTCACCTTGGCTGGTCTGGTGACGCCTGTTCACCAGCCCCACCAACCGGTCATTCTGCCATTTGGTTGATTTGCATATTAGGCTTTTATTATATAGGATGTGGTGTTTATGGATTTATCAGGCATGGCTCATTGGAAAGTGTTATATAAGCTCTATAATTAATAGGGAATGAAAAGGAAATATTTTATTACTGAAATGACCCCTTTTGTGCATGTGATGTCCCAGACTTTTCACTTAGATGGCCCATCTCCTCTGAATTATTAGCAAAAGTAATGGGTATGTTTCTGATTCCTGTAAGTCCTTAAAGTCTCTCTTATGGTCTTTCTTTTTTCTTTTGCTAATCCTCACCTGAGGATATTTTCCCATTGATTTTTAGGGAGAGTAGAAGAGAGAGAAAAATCGATGTGAGAGAAACACATCAATTGGTTTCCTCCCGGGCTGAGGAGACGCCTGCAATTTGCTTCTATTTCCCAAGATACATGCCCTTGACTAGAATCAAACCCAAGACCTTTTGGTCCACATTGAGCCAAACTGGCTATGGCTCTTATAGTCTTTCCATAAATATTGAAAGTAGATACAAATCTTTCCTGAGGAATGGCCTAGAAAACAAGCTTCAGCGATCAAAAAATGTTTGGAAAATCTTTAGCATAACGGTGCACGTGGTGAGTATAATTGAGAACTAAGGCTGATGGTGACAAGAGAGACAAAATACCATGTAAATGTTTTGTGGGAATAATACAACTACCATAAAAGGAATGGAAAGAAGGGATTAAATGGAAAACAGGATAAATTCACTGGGAATAAAAGAATATCATTTGGGGCTTACAAATTAAGCTCCAAGACTTTTAAAGAAATTGTTATTTATTGATTTTAGAGGGAGAGGATGGGGGAGAGACAGAAAGGGAAGGAGGGAAGGAGGGAGGGGGAGAGGGAGAACCAAATCAATGCCCCCCCCCCTCTCTTTTTCTCTCTCTCTCTCTCTCCCCCCTCCCTTCCTATCTCTGAAACAAATAAAAACATATAATTAAAAAGTTAAATTGGAATATCATGGCTAACCCATTGAATTGGAAAAGATCACAGAGCTTTTCTGCCTTGGTTATAGTGTAAAAGAGGCACTTCATGCATTGCTGGTGGTAACATAAATTAGTCCAACTGCTATGCATGGAAAAGAATTAAACATTACCTTCCTATATGGATGATTTTTCAGGGGCGCCAAATAGCCCTGATTGAGGAGGAAAAGTTCTTTACAGAAAAAGTAAAAAAGTAAAAAAAGTAAATGTTCTTTGCAGTTCATAACTTCGGAAGAAATGATAATATTAGAAATGTTGCTGTTTTGCAAACTTTAACCAAAACAATGGATGGAATAATTAAATACAAGTTTAATAGGATACATTACAATGGAAATACCATGTGGTTACCAACTGAACCCACTGATGTATCTCAGCATAAATCAGAGTGAGACAGTCAGGAATAATGCGCCGAAGTATGGAGAGGTGAAGAAGGTGGTATGGGATTTGCTTCAAAATAATTCAGCAAAAATACTAACAACTATAAAACAACAAAAGTAATAAATAAAAGTGTAGCAAAATGTTGATGACTGCTAAAACTTGGAGATGGGATTCATTACACCATTATTTCTATTTTGTATATGTTTGAAGTTTTACATAATAAAAATGTAAGGCATACATACCCATTGTTTCAAAAAGCAATCAGCTTGCCATAGTTTAATTTTGGATAACAAGTTAAAGATAAATGGAAATTCACTGAAAATAATGGGACTGAAGTTTCCTGCAGTTACCTAAGAAACAAACAGGTTAACAGTTTTGATAATTAAAATAAGAGAAAAATGTCATTCCTTTACTTCACCACCTTAAATTATTTCCCTCTATATTTTTTTAGAATCTTTTTTTTTTTTTAAGAATCCATATTACTTAGAAACAAATTTCTAAGAAAATGCATTTGTTCTGGGAGTGAAATATTTAAGCTTTTAATGATTATCTAATTTAGCATAGTCAGCATTCCAGTAAGGACATTTTAAAATGTTGATTTGTCAATGTGATACCTACATACCCACATAGCTACTGATGTGTCCCCCTTTAAAATATGAAAATATTCAGAGCCTTTTTGGTAATTTCACTCAGAAGTGAAAAATGTTACTCTTACCACATTGTTATCTCTATTGCACATTCTTCTTCTTTCTTCAATAAAGACCAACAGAGTGGAGAGTTCATTTATGATGAAAGTATTCTCTGGTAATTGACAAGTAGCTTTGTTTACCTTAAAGAGAATATGACCTATGAATATCATTCTCTATTAACAAATGATGTAATCTCTGAGGAAGTAGAATTCTATAAAACTTCCGTTTTTTAAAAAAATCTATAATTTCTCCAATTGTTAGTGGAGATGGTACAGCAACTCTTGGGACACAAATTTTCTGGAAACAGTTCCCAGATCTTGAGAATAAAAGCACGATAAAAATTTGGCCCTTTTTCCATTAATGAATGAATAATAATTTAGTGCACACTATTTGTTGCCGTGTTTCCCGAAAACAAGACATCCTCCGAAAATAAGACCTACTTACAGGTTTCCTTCTGAGTGAAATATAAGGCATCCCCCTGAAAATAAGGCTCCCCCTAGGCTCTGTCTCAGAATGCTATTGCTAAACATGAGAGATTTGGTCCACTGATTCTGAAAGAAATGGAGTCACAAGAAATTCACTAGGAAATTCAGGAATTGGATTGTTATGATGATGTTCCAGAAGATGATGACATGATTGTCATTGAATAAATGAGTAAATTCTTGATACTGTAGGAGTCACAGTTTGTCTGGTTTGTGTTGACAACTACCGTACTAGCGTACTGTATACAGGTAATAAATTTCCTTTATTTTCATTTAACAATAAATGTGTACCGTATTCTTCTTCATGGAAAAATAAGACATCCCCTGAAAATAAGACCTAGCGCATCTTTGGGAGCAAAAATTAATTTAATAAGACACTGTCTTATTTTTGGGGAAACACAGTAGGTGTGGGACAAAACATAAGGTAAAAAATTGTCCTAGCTTTACATGAAGCTTACTGTCTATTATAATAGTTAGCAAACCCTTTCCTATTTCTGGATAGCAAATATTTTGAGATTGGGACTATACAGTCTCTGCTGCAGCTATCAACCCTGACATTTTATAGCACAAAACAGTCTTAGACAATATGTAAACGAGTGAGTGTGGATGTGTTTCAATAAGCTGCCCATGGGCATAAACAGCCAACTGGTGATCCATGGTCTAGTAGGTGAAAACAACAAGTAATGAGGCATCAGGGACACAGTTTCTCATTGGAGAAGGAATTAAAGGGTTCAAGAAGGCCTTTCAGAACAAGACAATAAAGACTTAAAAATATATATATACTGTGATCCTAAGGGGGAAAAAAAGTAAAAACATGTATGCATGTAAGCATAAGCAATGGATGCAGACAATAGTGTAGTGAAGACCTGAGGAAGGTGGGTGTGAGCTAGAAAGGGACAAAAGGAGGGAGGAGGGAGGGGGGGAAGGAAACATCTATAAAGCTTTCAAAATAAAGATAAAATTTTAAAATGTAAAAAAATAAAATAAGCCGGTTTGTTCAGTGGATAGAGCATCGGCCTGTAGACTGAAGGGACCCGGGTTGGATTCCAGTCAAGGGCAGATAGCCTGGTTGTGGGCTCAATCCCCATTAGGGGGTCTGCAGGAGGCAGCCAATCAACGATCCCCTTTCATCATTGATGTTTCTATCTCTCCCTCTCCCTTCCTCTCTGAAATCAATAAAAATATGTTTAAAAAATAAAATGAGCAGAGGAACTGAATAGATTCCTCTATTCAAATCAAAACCACAAGAAGATAACACTTCACACCTGTTAGGATGGCTACCATCAAAATGACAAGAGAAAACAAGTGTTGGTGAAGATGTGAAAAAAAGGGAACCATGGAAACAGCATGGAAGTTTCTCAAAAAAATTAAAAACAACTATCATATGATGCAGTAATCCAACTTCTGGGTATATATCTAAGGGATTAAATCACTCTCTCAAAGAGATATCTGCACCCCCATGTTTATTGCAGTCTTGTTTACAGTAGCTAAGAAAGAAACAACCTAAGCATCCATGGATTGATGAATGCATAAAGAATATGTGATGTTCATTCATCTATCTTATACACTTCTTTTCACATATATAATGAAATATTATTTAACCACGAGAAAGAAGGAAGTCCTTACATTTGGGACAACATGGATGGACCTTGAGGACATTATGCTAAGTGGGATAAGGCAGACAGAGAAAGACAAATGCTGTATGAATTGTAAAAAAATAATATGTGGAAGCTAAAAAAACTAAACTAATAGAAAACAAAAGTAGTATAATGGCTGTCAGGAACTTGGGGGTGAGGAAAATGGGGAGATGTTGGCCAAAGTGTACAATCTTCCGATTATAAAATGATAAGTTCTGTGGATCTAATGTACAACATGGTGATTACAGTCAACTGCACTATACTATGTTCTTGAAAGTTGCAAGTAGATCTTAAGTGTCATCATCACAATAAACAAACAGTAATTACATGAGGTGATGGAGGTGTTAGTTAAAGCTATGGTGTTAATCATTTTGTAATATATAAAGTGTGTCAAATCAATAAACTGCACACCTTGACAATGTTATATGTCAATTATATCTCAATAAAGTTGGAGAAAAAAAGAAATATACTATCTTAGAAATAATACTATAATGGTACTTCTGAAAAGCATTAATTCTTATATATAATATTTTCTCCTATTGAGATTGATATTTTATGGTGAATTTTGCTCTGATTGCCATTTTAGCAATTTATTTGTAAAAGAATCTTATTTTAGCTAATTTTTAATGGAATGATATCAACTGAATTCTCTTATTTTGTTGAAAATGCTCTGGCTCCATTCCTGTCCCCTAGCAATATCAAGTTTGTTAGTAGCTTAACCTTAGGTTACTTCTAGATTATGTTATGCATTTTAATGAAAATACTAAACCACTGTCATATTTGAGTAGTGTTTATGCAACTAATATATTACATGTAATATATTCCTCCAGAGTCTATCCAGTTAGCAAAACAAGCAAAATTTTGAATTATTAAGGCTGAATAAAATATTCTCTTTCTGTAATGAAAAACATAACAGAACAAGACTCCAATTGGCTGAGACCTAAGAGATTTGTATTTAGCAAGATGGTATATACATTCCTTAGATGCACACTTACATTATACAATTCTTTCATCATTTTTAGAAGAGCTCTAACATTGCAGTTATTCTGAGGTGTTTCAATCCAGAAAGTCATTTGAGCAATGATGGCTGATTTAAGCATCTGGACCAGTGTGTTGAAAGAAGACTCTTGCAAAGATGCCCAACACTTCTCTGAGGAATGCAAAATCAGCCATGATAAGTATATACTCCTCTGCTCCCCTCAAAAATACTCCCTCAGTTTCTACTGGGTTCTTTAATATGAGAAAGAAATCTTTTCCATTTATGATTACAAAAACCATAAAATATGTTTCCTAAGGATATCATCCTGGACAACATTTTCTACAAAAAAAATATTTTCCCTGATTAAGTATTATTGGAATTAAAAGCTCAAATTCAGGATTCTAAAGAAATGTGTTGATAGTTCATATTTATGCTTGATTACTTGATTGATTTTATGATTTTCAAACTGTAAATTCTATAGGTTATTTATAAAGTCTGAGAACACACATAGGTGAATACACATACACATACAATGTCATCAAGGATATTTTCCATCTGTAAAAAATAATATCCATGTCTTCAGATTTTATACACAACTGGTATATATGGATATATTTTTATATAAAATTATATCAATAACAATATTTTAATATTACTGAGGTTACAATCTAGATTATTGTACCTTTACAGGATAAACCTACCAATATATTATAAAACTAATATCATTAAAATAGTATGACCCAAATGCATGAAAAGAAGATCAATGTAGCACAATTCCCTAAATGCATCCAAATGCACATGAGAGGTTAGTATATGATAAAGGTGACATTGTATATTAATGGCAATGAAACAGATCATTCAATAAATGTCTGGGGACAAGTGGAAACTGATCTAAAAAAAATTTAATCAAGATAAACTCCATATGGATCAAAGATTTAAGCTTAAAAATGAAACAATAAAAATTCTAGTTGGAGCATGGGAATGTTTTGTTTTTTTTGTTTGAGAGTGAGATACTCTTTTTGTTTTTAAAAATATATATTTTATTGATTTTTTACAGAGAGGAAGGGTGAGGGGTAGAGAGTTAGAAACATCTATCAGTTGCCTCCTACACACCCCCATATGGGGATGTGCCCACAACCAAGATACATATCGTTGACTGAAATTGAACCTGGTACCCTTCAGTCTGCAGGCTGATGCTCTATCCACTGACTCAGACCAGTTAGGATGAGATAGTCTTTTTGAAGTCTGACCCAAACTCAGGAACCATAAAGGAAAATGCTAATACAGTAGGCTTTCATAAACATGTTTAAAAATAATCATGCATGGCAAAAATACCACAAAGTAAAATCAATTTTAATAACCTAAAGAAAATTTATAACTCATATTGTTGATAAAGGATTAGCTGCCATAATAGTTTGAAATCTCCTAAATATAAACTAACAACAGACAGAAAAATGGGCAAGAGGGAAGAACTGCTAGTTCTCAGATATGATATACAAATGAGCTGAGACATAAAAATAAAAAAAACAGCACCCCTAGCTTGTTTGACTCAGTTGGATAGAGCATCTGCCTGAGGACTGAAGAGTCCTGGGTTCGATTTCGGTACAGGGCATGTATTTCTGTTGCAGGCTCAATCTTCAGCCCTAGTTGGAGCGCTTGCCGGAGGCAACCAATCCATGTGTCTCTCTTACATTGGTGTTTCTCTCTTTCTGTCTCTCCCCCTTCCTTGCACTATCTCTAAAAGTCAATAGAAAAATATCCTCAGATGAGGATTAATAAAACAAACAAACAAACAACAAAAGGAAACCAGCACAACCTCATTCTTAATGAGAAAATTAAATTAAGAAGTGGAGAAACCAAGATGGCAGCATAGGTAAACATCTAACTGTAGCCTCGCACAACAATTGCAAAAATACAACTAAAATACAAAATGGACATTATCCAGAACTACAGGAAAGTTGACTGACTGGAAATTCTACAATGAGAAGGAAAGGGAAAACCAGAAGGAAAATCAGAGGAACTGTAAAAGCCTAAGGTACGGAGACATAGTGGGCGTGTGCAGAAAGGATGGAGCCGGAGAGGAGGGGTGGCTGAGTGCCTGGTTGGTGTTCCCTAGAAGGAAGGAGATAAAAGCTCTGGATTGTGCTGAACCCCAGTTCCGACTGCACTGAACCCTAATTCTGGGCGAGACCCTGGGGACCCAGGCTCATACAGAGAGAATCTAGGCTGTAGGGCAGGAACTCAGGGGAGCAGCGAAAGGCAGAGTCCCGGAGGTGCACATATGAATGTGAGCAGAGGACAGACTGTTGACTGTGCCCTAGCAGGAAGGAGACAAAAGCTCCAGACTGTTCTGAACCCCACTTCTAACTGCACCGAACCCCAGTTCCGGGGCATTGGGGGAGAGACTAGACTGTCTGGTAATGGGTGAAACTCGAGGGCACCTTTCTCTCAGAGGTGCTTGCAGCGAGTACCAAAGGACACTGAGGAACAATGAGACTCAGGTACCTCATAGGGCAGGGCAAATGGGAAGCCAAGGTTGTAGGCTTCACCCTGAAACTCCACCCTTTCCAAACTGAGCACTGAAGCTTTTGTAATTTTCCAAGTCTAGTCAAATAAGGCTGTCTCATGGCATAGACACAGCTGATCCTCACAGCCAATTGGCCTGGAGGTCAGTTCCTCCTAGTGATACCAACAACAATCAAGACTACAATAAGGCTGTACACACAGTCCACAAAGGGGTGCACCAAGAGTGTCCACCTCAGGTAACTGGGAGGCTGATTCACTGAACCATATAGGACATCTTAGCACACAAAGCCACCCTACCAACCCAGGGAAGCAGCGAAAATGCTGAGACAAGGAAACAGATCACAAATGAAAGAAATGGAGGACAACAAGTGACTGGATATAGAGTTCAAAACCATGGTTATAAGGTTTTTCAAGAATTTCCTAGAAAAGGCCGATAAAATAAATGAGACCTATGAGGATATGAAAAGGGATCAACTAGTGCTCGCTTCGGCAGCACATATACTAAAATTGGAATAAAAAGGGATCAACTAGAAATAAAGAATACATTGTCTGAAATAAAAAATAGTATACAGAGTCCTAAAAACAGAAGGGAAGATCGCAAGAATCAAGTCAAAGATTTGGAACACAAAGAGCCAGAGGACACTCCTCCACAGAAGCAAGAAGACAAGAGAATCCAGAAAGTTGAAGATTGTGTAAGAAATCTCTGGGACAACTTCAAGTGAACCAACGAAAGAATTATGAGGGCCTCAGAAGAAGAGAGAGAGCAAGATACTGAAAACATACTGGAAGAAATAGTGACAGAAAACTTCCCCCACCTGGTGAAAGAAGTAAACTTACAAGTCCAGGAACACACAGAACCCCAAACAAAAGGAATCCAAAGAGGACCACACCAAGACACATCATAATTAAAATTCCAAGAACAAAAGACAAAGAGAGAATATTAAAAGCAGTAAGAGAAAAGCAAGTAGTTACCTATAAAAAGGAGCACCCATACGATTTTCAGTTGATTTCTCAACAGAAACCATGCAGGCCAGACGGGAATGGCAAGAAATATTCAAGGTGATGAATAGCAAGAACCTACAGCCAAAATTACTCTACCCAGCAAAGCTATCACTCAGAATCGAAGACCAGATAAAGAGCCTCACAAATAAAAAAAAAGCTAAAGGAGTTCATCACCGCCAAGCCAGAATTATATGAATTGCTGAAGAGGGTTCTTTAGGAAGAGGAAGAAGATAAAGATAAAAATTATGAACAACAAATACATAACTATCAACAAGTGAATCTAAAAACCAAGGGAATTAAAAAACCTGATGAACAATATTAACTGGTGAATATAATAGAATCAGAGGTATGGAAGGGGAGTGGACTGACGATTCTCGCGGAAAAGGGGAGGGGGGGTGCAGGAAGAGACTGAATATATACTGTGCACCTATGGATAAGGACAATGGGGGGTGGAGAAAGGGCAGAGGGTGGGGTGGGAACCTGGTGGAGGGGAGCAATGGAGGGAGAAAAAAAAAAGAGGAACATTAGTAATAATATGAACAATAAAGCTTTATTAAAAATAAAAAGAAAAGAAAAGAAAATTAGATTATTTTTTTCAGAATGAGAAAGACCAAAAGTTTGATACCACTGTTGAAAAATGAATTCATGGGCTGCTGCTGTCATATTTGTTGTGAAGGGCAAACATTCACCCTCTGTCCTGGTGGCTACTGTCCAGGGGTGCATTTTACTTAGACTACAGTGTGGATGGTGGCCACTTGAAGTGGGGCTACCTGGTGGCCTAGATTTCTGTGGAGGGTCATTTGGCGAACTCTCTCAAAATTTTAAATGCATATGTAATTAGACTTAATAATTTTACTTTCTGGAATTTTCCCTGACTGTGTACATTTATATATGCACAAAGAAATGCATGTTAGCACTCTTATGATAACAAACATTTAGAAACAACTGTTCATAGCATATCTTCCCAATAGAAATTATTCAGACATTACATAGAATAAGGCAGTTCTATAGGTCCAACAGCAGAATGCTCTCCATGATATACTGTTAAATGGGGAAAAGCAAGTTGCCGAAGCACGTGAATGGTATGCTACCATTAAAAAATGCATTTCTATATGTTTTTATACATAATATATTTCAAATGTTACACAAGAAACAGGAATTGCTCTCTGAGAGGGGAACTAGGTGGCTCATATTTCACTGTATATATCCTTTGTTCCTTTTAAGTTTTGGACCTTGAATACTAGCTTAAAAAGTGTAAAATACATCCTATTGTAGTGAATAAAATAAATGATAAGAACACAAAGCTTATCATTTCTTTTCATCCCCTCTGGTTAAAATGGCTAAAGTTTTAAAAAGCATGAGCAAAAAGTTTTAAAATGGATTTGTCATAACTGGATCCTCTACGGTTACTAAACTCTGATGTCAAAGCCATGTCCGAGTCTAAGAATCATACCTGCCTTGTGTAACAGTAATGATTATAATTGCTTTAGGTTTATCTTTAAAAAAAATATATATATATATATAAATCAATTATATATATATATATATATATATATATATATATATATATATATATTTGACTTTTTACAGAGAGGAAGAGAGAGGGATAGAGAACCAGAAACATCGATGAGATAGAAACATTGATCAGCCGCCTCCTGCACACCCCCCACCAGGGATGTGCCCGCAACCAAGCTCATGCTCCTGACCGGAATCGAACCTAGGACCCTTCAATCCACAGGCAGATGCTCTATCCACTTAGCCAAACCGATTTCGGCACAGGTTTATCTTTTCAATAATCCACATATCATGTACTCAAGTATTTGTATACTTTGAAATCTATTCAAAATTTTCTACAACTTCTACTTCAGACAGTGATAGAGAGTTCAAATAAAGTAACATGAAAGTAATCAAACTTACTCAGGACTCGTAAAGACCGGCCATTCATTGTACCAACAGCCTGGGCAAACGGAACCACCAGGTTTCCCCAGTTTTCAGGATGATGCATCACTGGACACAGTGGGAGCAGAAGGAAAACCGATAGCACTTCTTGGCGTAAAGAATGGCATGGGAGAGCTCTGAGGAGGTTATCCCTGAGGCTCGTGGTTATCTGCAGTTGAAATGTGATCAGAGGAAGAAAGGCCCAGGGTAAGTTTTGGGACCAGGGGTTTTCTTCCACTACTTTCCAATTAGAATAACCACTTAGTTTTCCTGGAACCTGTTGTTCGTCCTTCCTTGCATCCCAAATGCCCCTGAGGTAGTATGTGAAAGCCTTCGTTCCGATTTTACACGGGGGTGCATGAGGAAATAAAAGTGAAACACGTGTGCTGGTTGGTGCTGAGTGACATGTGGAGGTTGTTCAGTTAGAAAGTGGCACAGCAGGGATCCATACCCAGGTCTGCCTGGGCTAAAATCTGCCCTGGCAGAGGAAGTGCCATGTCTTACCTTCTCCAGTCCTGTTGCAGCTTCCTCCTGGGGTCACCGGAAGATGGTATTTTTTGGCCTCCCCGCCAGTTAGTGAGGCCATGGGGCTGAGTTCTAGCTAATGCAATGCGAGTGAAGGTGATGTATGACCCTTGGAGGCATGGCCCTCCAGAAACCTCTCCCATGACCTTACATATTCTCTTTCCTAATCTGCCAACCAAACCCAGAAGATCTACTGGAGGATTTCATGGCCCCAGAACCCAGAAAGAAGGAGCCTGCGCCACTCCTGAATTCAACTGTGCAGTGGTTGGAAGGGTGGCAGACTATGCCACCCCAAAATATGCCACTCTGGCATGAAGATCATTTTAAATACATTAATTTATTTGAGGGAGGGAGGGAGAGGGAGCAAGACACAGGAACATCAATGATGAGAGAGAATCATTGATCAGCTGCCTCCTGCACACCTCCCCACTGGAGACTGAGCCTGCAACCCAGGCATATGCCCTGGCTGGGAATTGAACTGTGACCTCCTGGTTCATAGGTCAACACGCAACCACTAAGCCATGCTGGCTGGGGTTGAGGATCATTGTGAGCTGAAGGCAAGTAATTAAAAAACAGACTAGAGCAAGCTTTCTGGCTTCCCCTCTATTTACCTGACAACTGAATATAAATTCCTTTGGTGAAGGTGTCCTCTTGCTCCCAACTTCCTGTACCAGGAAGAGGATAACAACCTTACAGCAGAGATGAGCTGGCACTGAGAAAGTCCGCACAAACCAATCTTACTAACTGGCCCTTTTCTACCATTCATTTCCCCATGTATTTGCCTTCCCACAATTCGGCACCTCGAGAAGCTCAAAGTCCTTTTCCTTTGTCTGGTCGCTTCTCTCCAGAATGACTGCGCTTCGCTGAGATGCTATATAAGCACAAGTTCTAACCACCCCATTGAACTTCTCACCACTGAGTGTATATGAAGGATGCCCACGTAAGTAAACTTCGGTTCGTTTTTCACCTACGAACCTGTCTTCTCTCAGTCTACTTTGTAGGGTCTCATCCAGTGAAACTAAGATGGATAGAGGGGAAAACAGTTTCTCCCTACAGGTACCTCATATCTTCAATCCTCATGGAACTGTGATGTGGAAAATAAATGTTCATTGTATTAAGCCACTGAAGTTTAGAAGTTGTTTGTGATAACAGCTAGCATTTATTTGTTCTGTCTAATAGATCTTAGATACTATAGTGTCTGCCTCTACATGACATAAAAGTTAAGATAATATATGCAATAATAAACTGTCAAGTACTATATATTATTATATCAGTGTTCTTCGTTTTCTCAGGATGAGGGGTGAATCAGTAGCAGAGTGACCTCAACAAGATTTGAAATTCACCTAAAAAAATAGAGACCAGCCTTTTTGGTCTCTTAGTTCAGGATTATCTTGCTTCCCAAACATGATAGAAGTTATTTACTTCTCAAGTAACAGTTTTCTCATAGTGAAAATAACACCCTGCTTGGTTGGTTGGAGCATCATCCTGTACACCAAAAGTGGCAGATTCAGTTCCCAGTCAGGGAACATACCTAAGTTATGACTTTGATCCCCATTTGGAACCTTTGCGGGATGCAACTGATTGACGTTTCTCTCTCTCCCTTTCTCTCTTTAAAAATCAATAAAAATATGTTTTAAATAAAATTTATAATCAAGAAAGAAAGAAAATTAAGGTATTGTCATCTAGTGTACATTTAAATGTTTAAAGAGAAAGTAAGAGCCAGTGCTTAATACATTATGTTATTATATAATAATATTATATTTCCCGAAATATAATAACCACAAAATGAACATTGTCTTCTCCCTCCATCAGGTCTCCCTCACTCCCAACAAAAACTGCAATCATAATGGTTCCTGTAAGGAAATTCTAGTGCTCTGTTTCTCAAGTGAATATTGACCTTTACTGATACCGTTATAATTTAGCCCAATTATTAATAACTGGAAAGGAGCAAAGAGAAGGTCAAGTGTTATCGGCTTGCCATTTGTACAGCTTTGCCAGGAAGCTGTGGTTTAACTCCCCAGGAAGCCACTGGTTTGTCCCCACTGGGGGAAGAAACTGGACAGGGAGAGAACAGACACATGCCCAGTAAGGTCTGGGTGAAAGAGGGAAGGTACTTGTCTGTCAGTCAGCCCCGGGGACAGGTCATTGGCTACAGTGGGCACGGCCACTGCAAGAGCAGGGAGTTCCCTCTCTTGTTGCTCTTGTCTCCCTTTTGCTCTTGGGACTCTTGTTGCAGAGGCCGCACCCTCGGCTTCCTTGCCTTCGGCCATAGGGTCCACATGGCTGTGGACCCTACACAATGGCCTAATGGACTGCAACAAGTCTAATGCTCACCCAGACCCAGCTCCACCATTGGATGGATCTCTGGACCCTGGCTTTGCTTCTAGCTCTGCCAAAGCCCCCGCTGCATATCATTCAGGACGGGGATTAAGGGTGGGACTTTGCAAACCCAAGGGTATAATTCATCCCAATAAAAACCACTCATCCTCCTGCGTGAGTCTCAGAAAATTCTTTTCCTCGAGATATGGTAAGGACCCGACCCTTAGCACCCAGTGGGGAAAGGGATCCACCACTTTCACGGATAACATTACCGTGGAAGAAATCCATTCCTTTTCTGTTAACTTCTCAAAGGTATCTTTTGCCATTTGTAAGTCCACATCAATGGAATTCGCTTCTCCAGATTCTCTTTGGATATAAGAAATGCAAAAACACGCATAAACAAGTGGAAAGGGACATTTCTAAACTTCATATACCATTATGTAGTTTTAGTACATATCAAATATAAACTTTTCTCTTAAAGCTTGCCTCCTTTCAAAATAATCCACTTCCTTGGCATAAAAAAAAAAAACACCCATGAAATGCATGTCTCCTAAAAGAGGGGCGGTAACAATGTACTATCTCTAGAGTAGCCACAAGTCTGGGCTGCAGGAATAGCAAAATTTTATATGCTGCATCTGAGAACTGACAGCATTTACCCCCACTCAGCCAGCACACAGGGAGCTGAAACTACTTATTCCTCTCCCCACCTCTCCCACGTGAACACATATACACACGTTCCTTACCATGTACAGTTGCATTACTTTGGGATTCCACGGTTTCATTAGCATGATTTTACTATTCCTAGAGACACCTGCCCAAGCAAATGGCTTGATGATTCATCATAGGAACTTTCTGGAAAGACCCATGACCTCTCCCCTGAGAAGCATCAACAGGTAGTTTAGGCAAGTTCTTTGAATCTCTTGCCTCAAAATCCTTGCCTTGCAGTTTCCACACATCCAAGATAATTGTATCTTTTCCCAATCATAACCAAGTCCCCTTTCCATGTTGAAAAACTTGCCTTAAACCAAACTGCCAATTCCTAATCAATTCCAACCAGGCTTTCCCCCTCAGAAGCACTATCAAAGCCCTGGAAAGGTGTCCTGCCTCCTTGGGTTGTGTTGGTGATATTGAGGAGCACGGATTCTGCCAAACAGTGTCTTTGAGAATCATTGATTGGCTGCCTCTTGCACGTCCCCTACTGGGGATTGAGCCCACAACCTGGGCATGTGCCCTTGATTGGAATCCAACCAGGGGCCCTTGAGTCCACAGGCCAACGTTCTATCCACTGAACCAAAGCAGCTAGGGCCAGCCTTTGACATCTTAAGACAAAACCTTGAGGTTCAACCCTCCAGAGAGAATACATTTCCAATTTAAAAAATTATATATATAGCTTTGTGCATTGGCAGTATCGAAGCCAATGAAGTTTACCCAAGGCGTGATTATTGCTAATTGGAAAAAAAATTTTATTTATAGCCCTAGCCAGTTTTGCTCTGGAGATAGAGAGTTGGCCCACAGATTGAAGAGTCTCAGGTTAGATTCTGGTCAAGGGCACGTACCTCTGGTTCAAGCTCGATCCCGGGCCCTGGTCAGGCTCAGGCTGGAGGCAACCAATTGATGTCTCTCTCTCAGATGTGTCTCTCTCACATCGATGTTTCTTTCTCTCTGTCTCTCCCCCTTCCCTTCTACTCTCTCTAAAAATCAATGGAAAAATATCCTTGGGTGAGAATTAACAACAACAATATCAACAACACACACACATACACACACACACACACACACACACACACACACACACATACACACGAGGCCCGGTGCCCATGTCCATGAGTTCCCTCTCTAGATAAATGGAACAGAATGACAGATTTTAGAGGGCAAAAGGGTGGAGGGAATGAGAAGAGTTTAATCAAAGAACATATACGCATAGCCCATGGACACAGACAATAATGTGAGGAAAGGCCTGGTATGGGGTGGGGGCGGGGTGGAAGGAAAGGAGTGGAAAATAGGGGACATCTGTAATACTGTCAACAATAGATTAAAAAACAAACGATCACCAAAAACTGGCCCTAACCGGTTTGGCTCAGTGGATAGAGCGTCAGCCTGTGGACTCAAGGGTCCCAGGTTCGATTCTGGTAAAGGGCATGTACTTTGGTTGCAGGCACATACTCAATAGGGAGTGTGCAGGGGGCAGCTGATTGATGTTTCTCTCCCATCGATGTTTCTAACTCTCTATCCTTCTCCCTTCCTATCTATAAAAAAATCAATAAAATATATTAAAAATAAATAAATAAATAAAAAGAACTGGAAAACTAAGCTATTCTTAGTATGGAAGAGACTAGTGTAGGGAAGAAAGAAGATACACTGTATGGCAGAGTCCCTCACTTTCAGCCTGGAAGGACTGCAAGAAGAGGAAAGCGAATGGAGGAACGGCAGAGAGAAGCAGTGTCCCAATTTCTCTTCTCCCACCTTTGTCCAGGATGCATAGAGATGAACAGGAATGCTTTTTTGAGCTCTAGAAATATATTGCCTAATGAGTTGCCAGTGGGAAGCCATGCCAGTTAACTGCCCTGGGCTGCTCTGGTGCCCAGATGAAGTTGTTGGAGTGGCTGAGAATGAAGCTGGGTTAAGAATCAATGGGGCCAGAACCGGTTTGGCTCAGTGGATAGAGCGTTGGCCTGTGGACTGGAAGGTCCAGGGTTCGATTCCGGTCAAGGGCATGTGCCTTGGTTGCGGGAAACTCCTCGGTAGGGGCTGTGCAGGAGGCAGCTGGTCGATGTTTCTCTCTCATCGATGTTTCTAACTCTCTATTCCTCTCCCTTCCTTTCTGTAAAAAATCAATAAAATATATTTAAAAAATGAATCAATGGGACAATAGTACAAAATAATGTTGAATGTAAACTGTAATTGGAAAAAAAAAATTTAAAAAGAAAAAACTGAACCAATGGAACAACTGAGTTGTGTAGGGGCAAGGAATAGCTGCAACTGGGGTCAAGCAAGCACCACCTAGTGGCCAGGAGGGGTTACAAGCTGTGTACACCCAGTATCTTCTGAACCAGGGAGCCAACTTGAGGCTAACTCAATGAGGGGAGGGATGGGACCTGGCCTCATAAAGGACTGGAATGAGTTACATTGGCTGCAATTAGACCCCAGGGCACCCTTCTCCAGAGAAAGCAGAGGGTCCCTTCCTGTTGCTATCACACCTTCACCTCCCTTTGTATACTGTGTAATTAAACAAGGAAGCCATTGGACGGTAGCGGCTCTAATGGCATGGAGGCCTGCATAAAGAAACAAACTCTAAGCCTGCAAATGCCTCAAAGTTATGAAATAAAAATCTAAGGACAAGCATTCATAGCCAACTAGGCTTAAAGCTATATAGACAATCAAATAATTTCCTTTCTTTGCTTCTGCACTTTCTCTATGTCAGTCTTTCCCCTGGCTCCCGGTTTGCAGTATGCTTCTAACCACCTCCAGTTTGGCACTAACCTGTTTGAATCCATATTTGTTCAAGTAAACTCTTAAGATGTTTAAAATGCCTAGGCTATCTTTTCATGATTCTTATTATACGATAGTACTGCTGAGCATAGAAGGAGGGGAAGAAATAGAAGACCAAACATTGAGTATGTTGCAAAGGAATTATTTAAACTACTAGGTCAGACAAGTGTCAAACCAAATAGGAAGTTAAATCTTACTCTGCAGTAGAGAGACTAGTTAAAGATAAGATAAATAGGATCTGTTTTCCTTACCGATCCCACCACAATAAGAACTGCCAAGTACAGCCCTGGCCTCTGAGTATAAAGGCAACGAGATAATACTCATGGAAACAAAGATCCAGAAAAAACAACACCATTCTTCCCAGAGAACAGAGGAGGGCAGGGCCAAGGAAGTAAACAATGTGAAATGGGAATTACAGCTTAATAGTGGTAAAGTTACTTTAGATAACAAAATTCACAAATTGAAATGACTGATTTGAAAGACTTCATTTAAAAAATTCCCCAATGTTTTAAATGAAGGTAAATCTTAAATAAATATTACCTTTTCTTTAAAAAACTTGCAGTCAGACAAGCAGGAGATGAAAATATCATTCTAATTTCACTGCAAAAAGCAATAACAGAAGTGTTAAGTCATAACATACAGAAAAACATGCCTTTTCTTACTTCATGTCTGAATTTATAATTGATGATGTGGAATCATTTTTAAAGAAAATAATAATTCTTTTGAAAGTTCTCCAAATGCTGGTTATGTTTTGTGCATGCTACAACTTACCAACAGCCTTTATAGCTGATTTGAGGAAGTAATCTAGAGTTAAATAAATCCATCCTTATGAATACAAACTATGGAACTCCAGAAAATAAGCTATCTATCTATACTAATAATAGGGTAATATACTAATTAGACCAGGAGACCTTCCGGGAGACCTTCCAGACATCCTTCCAGACAAAGCCATGGTGATGGGCTTGAAGTAGAGGTGGTTAGGGCAATCAGGCCAGGAGGGGAGGGCATTTGGGGGTGATCAGTCTGGTGGAGGGAGGGAAGTTGGGGACAAGCAGGCCGGACTGAGAGACCACTTGAAGGTGAGCAGGCTAGCAGAGGGGGCAGTTGGGGGCCAACAGGCCAGCAGTGGGGGACAGTTGGGGGAGATCAGGCTGGCGGGGGAGCAGTTGGAGGCGAGCAGGCTGGCAGTGGGAGGGTAATTGGGGCAGGAAGGCTGGCAGGGGAAGATCAGGCAGGCAGGCAGGTGAGTGGTTAGGAGCCAGTGGTCCTGGATTGTGAGATGGATGTCCCTGTGGGATCAGGCCTAAACTGGCAGTCGGACATCCCCCAAAGGGTCCCATATTGGAGAGGTTGCAGGCCCTGAGGGACACCCTCTCCTCCCTCTCCCCGGGCACAAATTTTGTACAGTGGGCCACTAGTAAATATATAAAAGCCTAAGTGACTGTTTGACTGGTCAACTGGTAGCTATGATGGCACTGGACACAAGGGGGCAGACACACAATGCAGGAGCTTCCCCCTGGTAGTCAGTGCATGCCCACAGTGGGAGTGCAGTTCAGCTGACCAACAGGCGCCAGATGCTGGGCTCATGGCTGATAAGCACAGCTGCAGTGGTGCAAGCCTCTCCCATGGACACTCCCCCTGTGTGCTCCTCCCTGATCTGGACTGGGCCTGGAATCTAGACTGAGACTGGGATTGGGACCTGCATCGTGACTGACAGGGCATGAGCCCCCAGCCGCTCTCCGATTATGGGCGTGTCAGTATTGTCCTAGGACTGGCACAGGGAGACCATAGCAGAGCAGCAGCTAGCCTATTGAGTGGTGATGGCAGGTGCAGTGGGGCCTGGGCTTGGGCTCCTCCCTGACCCCCTGCTGCTTCGAGCATTGCTACATCCCTTGAGGGATTTTGGATTTCTGATTTTGGCCCAATCCCCGCAGGCCAGGCCAAGGGACCCCCACTAGTGCACGAATACGTGCACTGGGCCTATCGTGAAGATATAAAAATCACTCCTACATCTCCCTCACCTATCTAGGTGCCTAGGATATTGTACGTCCTCAATAGGGTTGGGAAAACGTAAGTTTATAGTTGTGAGTTCATGAAAGAGTTTATTCTTGCATTATTTACTAATTATTGTGTTAATTTCCCATCTGAGCAATTGTAAACCTACTTTCCCCCCATCCTGTATACACCTGGTAAGTCAACAATGAATCAGTCAATCGATCAATCACTTCTTCAAACTAAGAGGTGGCAGAAGAGAAGGCTGAAGTGCAAATGCCTTCACAGGAAAGCCAAACCCTCATTGTTAGATTTCTAGTTTAAAGTGGCCATGGCTCCAGAACCCAATAAAAGTGTTAGGTTATTATTAGAGCCACCTCTTAGTCGCTTCATATTCATTACTTCTTGGTGTCATTGCCATCCACTGTTCTGTCTGGGACTGGTTAATTCGGCTTATTTCTGGCAAGGTTTTCTTGGAAACATTCGTGGAACCGGTATCCTTCAAGGAAGAAAAATAAAAGAACCATCAGGAAAACACACACACGCTGAGTAACGGGCAATCCCGTAGAGCTTATGGCACAGGCTGTAGATAGGACCAGGCCTCTGAGGCAGTGGGGTTTGGTGGGGCGAGCTATGGCATCCGACTGGTCCAGTTCCTAGCTTTGGCCACTTTGCTTGGTCTGAGCCTTAATTTATCACTTAAAAAGGGGATAATACAAAATATTAAAAACAGGAACTCAAACAGGTAATTGTAGGCCAATATTGATTGCAGCATTATTCACAATAGCCAAAAGACGTAAACAACCCATGTCTACCAACAGCATCAACAGATGAATGCTGCATATACATGCAATGGAATATTATTTAACCATGAAAAGGAATGAAATTCTGATACATGCTACAACATGGATGAACATTGAAAACATGCTAAGTGAAATATACCAGATACGAAAGGACAAATATTGTGGTTCCTTTTACATAAAGTAGGAAAATTATACACAAAAAGTAGATGAAAGATTGACTGGGGATGGGGATAATGAGGGAATGGGGAGTTAATATTTAATGTTTACAGATTTCGTTTGGAGTGATGAAAAAGTTTTGGAGATGGATAGTGTTAATAGTTACATTCTACAATATCGTGAATGCAATTAATGCTACTGAACTGTTCACTTAAAATTGGTTAAAATTGCAAATTTTATAATATATGTTTTTATATTATAAAATTATATTATTCCTCTGAAGGGCATCACATCAGATTGTATCCTCTGCCTCCCTTTCTTCTACAATCATCTCCCAATGTCCTAGTCACTACCTTTCAATTATTATTATTATTATTATTATTATTACCACAATAAAAAATTAGATAATAAGACCCAATACCCACATCCCTTAGGTCTTATTAAGATTAAATGATATTAAGTATACAAAGCTTTATAGTATAGTAGGTACTCAATAAAGACTAGTTTCTTTTTCCTCTTTAATAAGACACAGATTTGTACTTTTACATCAACAGTTTTTAAACGTTAGCATGCAGCAGAATCACCTGGTTATCTTGTTAAAGCTTAGACTGCTGGCCCATCCCCACAGTTTCTGGCTTAGTAGGTCAGGGGGGAGCTCAGGAATCTGCACCTGGTGAGTTCCCAGGTGAAGCAGATGCTGATGCTGCTGGTCTGGAGACCACACTTTGAAAACCATGGTTCTATACAATACTTAAAACCAAATGGCTCAGCCAGATGTGTTTAGAAATCACTGTCTGGAAAGAAAAATAAGTCCTATAATATTAAGGTGACCAGATCGTCCCGCTTTTGATGGGACAGTTCCGATTTCTAACAATTTTTCCCGCATCTTGCGGTGTTTTAAAAAAGTCCAGATTTTTGGAAAGAATCTTTCCAATCTTTCAAAAAATCTGGACTTTTTAAAAATGCCAGGAGACTTGGGAAAAATTGTTAGAAATTGGGACTGTCCCGCCAAAAGCGGGACGATCTAGTCACCTTAATAATATAGAATTCCAAATACATTAGTACTCTGTTCCATGCTATACCTTGACCGCCACTGAACTTGTAATGAGTCAAGAAATTTTGCCTCACTTTCGTTTAATCTATATTAATAAAAGCCTAGGTGGCCCTAGCATCCTTGTGCAACACCCTCATGTTATTGTCATTCTCAAATTCTTACTTAATAATAAAAAGTTCGTGGGAAAGCAATGAATTTGGTGGGGGGAGAGGGAGTCTCATCACTAAGAAGCCAAATGAGGAAGTGAGAATTACATAATATTTTTAAAAAGCATTCTAAGAAATTTGAATATACACAAATGATACAATACTGCTTTGTAATCTAGAGAGGAAAATGTTTTTTAAAGAAACAAAATTAATAGATACCTGCTCAGTGGTCACAAAGTTGGCGTGTGTCCCAGCAAAAATGTGTTTGACTTGAACATCCACAAGGTCTAAAAGAAAGTGGTAAATCCATGCTTATTGCTTTTATAAATAAAAAATAGTAAATCTTTTGGTGTAAATCTAAAACATCTTTTAAAAACTAGACTTTAAAAAAATCTGATTATTACCAAGCTAAATTGACTTATAGGCAATTTATAATCTTCTAAATGGATTTTGACTACAAATGGAAGAAAAGATTAATTTTGAACAGGTTACATGTCATATATTCACTTGGCTGAAAATTTAATTTTACATGCATTTGAGTCATGAAGCCAGGCTAATGTGATTTATAAGAGGTTTGATTAAACATATATAAGTGAATTGCTCTGATGCTTAAGTAACTGATTTGGAAGCTTTTTTTGTATTACCTTAATCTTTAGAAAAGGTTATCAAATGCTCTAGGAATCACTACATAAGAAAAAAATGCATATTGTACAAATGAAAATTAACAGCACCAGATGAACCATAGTTCTGTGCACTCCTTTGAGATGAAGCCGAATAATATTTTTCCTCAGTGGCATCAATTAACAGAAAATCATGAGTTAATGGGACCATTTATACCATCAGCAGAAATCAGGCAGCTAATGTCAGCGTTTTCTGTCTGGGCCTCCGGATGAGGTGGGGTGCTTGTGCAACTTGGTCCATGACCGAAAGACAACACCTTACCAGTGGTGTAGACATACACCAGGGTGTGGTAACTGCAGGAGAGAGAATACATATAGTGACGATCAGGATACTCATGCTTTCTGAGGAAGATGATGTCTCTTCACACACACACACACACACACACACACACACACACACACACACACACACACAGATTTATCTTACTCTAAGTATGCAGATCCCTTATCACAGTGTCAGTGTGATACACCCACTCCCCATCCTCCAGCACCCAGTTAGGTGTTCTCTACACAGTAAACTTCAAAATAATCCATATTAAATAAGTGCCTGGGGTGAAAAATAAAATAATGAAAAAATTTGTTGGTGACAGGATGTAAGCTGACAAGGTCCTTGCATCTGAGGGGGCTAGCAGGGCTGGCCCCCTACCCAAACAGTTTTCCCTGACTTGTTTGGATAGCCATTATCAGTCGAATGGAAGTAATTTATGTAGTAGGAGAGCAACATTTTATGTCTTGCCAGGAAGTCTGTATTTACCTACTGAAGATTTATTGGACTAAGAATCTGTCCTGCTGCTCTATCTCTCCTTTAGAGATTAAGAGAAACAAGAAATGCACTCCTCTTGACAGACCTGTTAATGAGTGCCTTGCGCAGTGAATAAACTTGCTACAGTTCCTCCAGGACTTGTCCTCCTGACCCCGCTCTTCTGTCTTTCTTTCTTTTCTCAATTCCCACCTCCCGACCTCAGTCCGGTTCAACCTGCCAGGCAGGCCCTGGCAAAAATTAAAAAAGTAAATTTCAGAAAAGAAAACGATCTATAAAAAGAATCGTCATATTTTAGGGTTGTAAGCTTTGATAACATCCCATATGCGTTATTTCTTTCTTTAAAAAGATTTTTATTTGATTTTTAGAGACAGAAACATTGACTGGTTGTCTCATGCATGCCCCCTATCAGAGATTGAGCCCATAACTCCAGATATGCCCTGACCAGGAATTAAACTGACAAACTTTTGGTGCACAGGACGACACCCAACCAACTGAGCCACAATGGCCAGGGCCATATGAGTCATTTCTAAGTCATGTCCTCTATAATAAAAGTGTAATATGCTAATAAGGCTGGACAACCTTCTGGATGAAGCCGGGGCTTCGAGGGAAGCCTGGGTCCCGGGTACCAGAGGGAAGCCAGTGTGGGCAGCCAGGGGTAGGAAGGCCTACTCTTGCACAAATTTCGTGCATTGGGCCTCTAGTCTATAATAATAAAAGCATAATATGATAATTAGACCGGACAGCTGAACAACCTTCTGGATGTCCTTCCAGACGACCTTCTAGATGAAGATGGGGCTGCGAGGGCCGAGCCCCTAGTGCACATTTTGTACATTGGGCCTATAGTTTATAATGAAACCCTAATATGCAAATTGACTGAACAACGGAATGACTGGTTGCTATGATGTGCACTGACCACCAGGGGCAGACACTCAATGGAGGAGCTACCCTCTAGTGGTCAGTGCACTCCCACAGGGGGGGGGGGGGGCTCTGCTCAGCCAGAAGCCAGGTTCACAGCTGGCGAGCGCAGCAGCAATGGTGGGAGTCTGTCCTGCCTCTGCTGTAGGCTAGCAGTAAGAGGAGCAAGAGGTCCTGGACATTCCTGGAGGGGCCCCAGGCTGCAAGAGGGACTGAGGGACCCCCCTCCTCGGTGCGCAAAATTTTGTGCACCAGGCCTCTAGTGTGTGTGTGTGTGTGTGTGTGTGTGTGTGTGTGTGTGTGTGTATAAAGGAAAGAAAGGAAGAAAGAGAGAGAGAGAGAGAGAGAGGGAGGGAGGGAGGGAAAAAAGGAGGGGGGAGGGAGGGAGTTAGTTTATTACCTTCCACAATCTATCTGTGAAACTAGGCCATCAATTCTTTCCACTTCTTGTGGACCACTCTTCTTAGCAGTGGGGCTGTGTCCCAGCTGTCCAAAGGAATTGTCTCCAAATGTGAACACTTTGCCATTCTATTTAAAAAAGGAGAAATTGAACCAATTTCAGGTAGAAAAAAAAAGTAATTAAAAAGTTAAAGATTACGTATCATAACAGAGGTATCTGAGAGAACTATGTGAAATATCCTATATAACAAAAGCCTAATGTGCAAACTGACCAGAAGTTTGACCGGGAAAAATTCAACTACTTGCTATGATGTGCACTGATCACCAGGGGATGGTGCAGAACATGGCAGGTGTCAATGGTGCAGCAGCAGCAGAGGCACTGCGGCCCTACGGGTCCTGATGAGAGTAAAACCACAGCAGGATGGCCAAGGTGGGTAAGGGTGGGGGGCTTGGCCCTAATCAGTCCTCCTACAGGCAGGATGGTGAAGCAGGTGAAGGGGTGGCACCAGGCCACAGTGGGGCTGTGGGGCTGAGAAGCTGGGGGCACGAGCTGGGGGCCAGTCCCCGCAGGCCACTCTGAGGGACCCCCTCCATGCACAAATTCGTGCACCAGGCCTCTAGTAAGCTCTACATGAGGAGGAGGGATCCTATGCTTACTATTTCTAATAGTGAATTTAGAGTTAACACATTAAACATAAAATATCATTGGTACACCCTTAAGAAATAGACACCCTATCTAATAAAAGAGAAACATGCAAATTAACCATCACTTACTATACCCACAAGACCATCACTTACTATACCCACAAGCCACACCACAAGCCAATCAGGAGTGGGTATGCAAATTAACCCAATCAAGATGGTGGCCAGCCACAGAGCTAGAGCAAGCAGGAGGCTAGGGTTGCTCCAGCAATGGAGGAAGCCAAGCTTCCTGCCCTGGCTGGTCCTGGCCTACGCTCAAGGATACAAAGTTTCAATTAAAGAAGATAAATAAATCTCAACAAAAATGGTGGCAGCCATGGAGCTTGAGCGAGCAGGCTTGAGTTTACCCTGGTGATGGAGGAAAACAAGCTTCTCACAGCCCTGGCCTATCCTAGCCTCCACTCAAGGCTACAAAGTTTCAATTATAGAAGATAAATAAATCCCATTTACTCGGGCCTCCACTTGGGTCACTGGAGGGCGAGGCCAGCTTGTGAACCACCACAGGCCCCTTGCCCAGGCGACCCCATGCCCTAAGGGAACCCCCACCCTGATCCAGGATACCCTTCAGGGCAAACCAGCCGGCCCCCACCCATGCACCAGGCCTCTATCCTATCTAATAAAAGAGTAATATGCAAATTGACCTCACTCCAATACACAAGATGGCTGCCCCCATGTGGACACAAGATGGCTGCCACAAGATGGCTAGAAGGAGAGGGCAGTTGGGAGGGACCAGGCCTGCAAGGGAGGGCAGTTGTAGGCGATCAGGCCAGCAGGGGAGGGCAGTTGGGAGGGACCAGGTCTGCAAGGGAGGGCAGTTGGGGGTGATCAAGCCTGCAGGGGAGGGCAGTTCAGGGCAATCAGGCTGGCAGGGAAGCAGTTAGGCTTCAAACAGGCTAACAGGAGAGTGGTTAGGGGGTGATCAGGCTAGTAGGCAGAAGCAGTTTGGGGCAAACAGGAAGGCAGGCAGGTGAGCAGTTGGGAGCCAGCAGTCCTGTATTGTGAGAGGGATGTCCAACTGCCCGTTTAGGCCCGAACTTAGTAGGATCAGGTCTAAACGGGCAGTCGGACATCTCTCACCCTCCCAGATTGGAGACGGTGTAGGCTGGGCTGAGGGACACATTCCCCGGGCATGAATTTCGTGCACCGGGCCTCTAGTCTTACCTAATAATAGAGAAAGAGGTAATAGATAAATTGACCATACCTCCGCTACACCCACAGCCAATCAGAGTGAGTACGCAAATTAACTCAACAAAGATGGCAGCTAATTTGCATATATACTCGGGTCCTGGGAACCTTCTCAGTACCCAGGTCACTCCCAGCTGACCATCGGGCAGAGGCTTTAGGCTTGGGAAGGGGCTGAGCCTGGGACCGAAGATGCGGGGGTGGGTTTTGGAGGCATCTTTAGGGTTCTCTCTATATAGATTCATATCATCTGTAAATAATGGAAGTTTTACTCCTTCTTTTCCAATTTGGATACATTTTCTTTTTCTTGTTTGATTGCTGTGGCTAGGACTTCCACTACTATGATGAATTAGGAGTGGTGAAAGTAGACATTTTTGTCTTGTTCCTGTTCTTAAAGAAAAAGCTCTCAACTTTTCACTATTGAGTATAATGTTAGTTGTGGGTTTGTCATATACTCTCTTTATTATGTTGACATATTCCCTTTATCCCCACTTTGCTGAGAGTATTTTTCATAAACGGATGTTGGATATTTTCAAATGCTTTTTCTGCATCTATTGATATGATCCTATAATTTTATATTTCATTTTATGTCATTTCTCTTTCATTTCTGATTTTATTTATTGAGTTCTCTCTCTTTTTTTCTTAGTGAGTCTGGTTTATCAATTTTATCTTTTATCTCTTTTACCTTTCAAAGAACCAGTTCTTGATTTCATTGCTCTTTTCTAGTGTGTGTGTGTGTGTTTAGCATCTATTTCATTTATTTCTGCTCTTTTATGATTTCTTTCTTTCTATTCACTTTGGGTTTTGTTATTCTTTTCCTAATTCCTTTAGATGTAACCTTACATTGAGATTTTTCTTATTTCTTGAAATAGGTCTGTTTTACTAAGAATTTCCCACTTAGAACTGCTTTGACCATGTCCCATAAATTTTGGGTCATTGTGTATTCCTTTTCATTTGCCTCAAGGTATTTTTAAAAGATGATTCTTGATTAAAACAACTCTAGATTTATCTTGTCAACTAAGAATGATATAATTCAAATATGCTTTTTAAACAAATAGTAAAAATTATTTTAGATATTTATTCTTTAAATTTCAACCACAGTTTTCAAGTCTATAACTTATGGCTATGGAAAAAGTTAATCACAAAGGAGTGTATTATATAGCCAGTATAAAAAGAGGAGGAAAACATCCAGGAAGCCAGCTCATATCTGTACTAAGCAAAGTGTGGAACAATATATGTTCTAGGTTGTAATGCAGGTTATTGAAAATTGTAAAAATTACTTTGTGCTTCTAAATAATTTTTATAAGTAGAACCACATTATGAATACTTGCTAAAAGGGTTCTCCCCTATTAATCTAATTAAGTGGGTATCTAAAACTATATCCTAAAGCTAAAATTAGCTTTTGTTATAGGATCTTGAAAATTTCATGGTTAATATTGGGTATCTTCTCCTTTTAAAGATTTGTACACTGAATGAATATATTGAGATACTGATCCACCTCTTAATTTCAACAATAATTAGTAACTGAACCTTGTAGTAACATTTGGTTTTGAAAAATAGCAAGACATTTTGGATTACCTGAGTAAGCACTGCAGTGTGTTCATAACCACAGCTGATATAAATCACATCTAGACTCTTCAGTATACCAACTGAAACAGGCTTGTAGCTTTGCACTGTTGAAAGAAGTATAAGAAGCAGATTCAGTTATCATGAGTTTTTATATTTTTATAGTTTTTGATATCTTATTACCTTATAATTACCATAATTTTTAGAAGTGAATAATAACAAGAGGTTCTATAAAACAAAGGGAAAGCTCTGCTTGGGGAAAGAAAAGCAGTCTTTTTAGCATGTATTTCTGAAACTACATAATCTTCGGTAATGCCTGCGTCTATTGCCCTGGAAAGCTAAGTTTTAAGACCTTCATCCTAATTGTAGTGTCATCATGTTGTGTTCATTTCTGTGGCTCAGTAGGTATTTTGAAAATATATAATATCAGTTAACAAAATAGAGAAAACCTACTTCATGCTGACAAGGTTAAATGAAAATAGATATAAGTGCTCAGCATGGTACTGGCGCTAAACAGGTGCTAAAGACATGTCAGCTGAATGTAAAAAATTGAACAGAGGAGGACAGGGTTCATGGGGAAGACTTCACTGAGTTTTGTTTGAAGGCTGCCAAAGGAACTGGTTGTTTCTCTTACTGCTAGCAGGTTCTAATCCAGTGGTTCCAAAATTTTGCACAACGGAATCACCCATGGGATCTTTGTTAATGATCGATGTCTGACTTCCATCCCCAAACTTCCTGATTTAATTGGTAGAGGGTCCAATCAGGACAGTGGGATTTTTAAAAAAATATATATTTTATTGATTTTGTACAGAGAGGAAGGGAGAGAGATAGAGTTAGAAACATCGATGAGAGAGAGTCATCGATCAGCTGCCTCTTGCACACCCCCTACTGGGGATATGCCCGCAACCACGGTACATGCCCTTGACCAGAATCGAACCTGGGACCTTTCAATGCTCTATCCATTGAGCCAAACTGGTCCTAGCAGGACAATGGGATTTTTAAATGCTCTAATGGTAGACAGAATAATGGCTTCCCCAAGATGTCCATGTTCTTTTTCCAGAGCCTGAGAACTTGTTAGGGCACATGTCAAAGGGGAGCTAAGGAAGCAGTGGAATCAAAGCTGCTCTTCGGGTGACCTTAACACAGGGAGACCACAAGAGTCCTCAAACTGAAGAAATGGGAGGCGGATGTGTCAATATCAGAATAACGTGACTTGGGAAAGACTTAACCAGCCATTGCTGGTTCTGAAGAAGAAGGGGGGCTGAGTGAAGGAATGCAGGTGGTCTTTAGAAACTGGAAAAGGCCAGAAAACGGCTTCTGCCCTAGAGCCTCCAGAAAGGAACACAGTGACACCTTGATTTTAGCCCCGTGAGACCCACACTAGACTTCAGACCACCAGAACAATAAGATTACACAACTGTGTTAGTTCTAAGCCACTAAGTTTGTGGTAACTTGTTATAGCAACCATAAAAAATTATTGTAGCCCCCAGGTGATTCTAATGTGCCATAAGGTTTGGGAACCACCGTTCTAACCGTTGAGACTGCCCTTTGCAGAGTTGGTCTTCCAACTGGAAGGAAATAATAATTTACTGCAGGAACAAGATTATCTCCTTACCTGAGTCATTTTTCCCACTGAGGGCCAGCTGTCCTGCATTGTTGCTTCCCCAGCCATATGCAGTCCCAGAGAGAGACAGAGCAAAGCTGTGGGCCCCTCCTGCAGCCACCTGAGCCAGGGGGATCCCCTCTAAGTACCGCATCCTCTGCGGGCTGGCTTGGGAGGGAGAATTCTTCCCCAGGCCCAGCTGCCCATGGCTGTTCTTTCCCCATGAAAACACTTGGCCATCTACAGAAACAAAGAATAGAAATTTAGAATTGCAAGTAGAAACTGCCACCCTAATTTAAAAAAAATCTTTAAAAAATAAAACAGAATTAAGAAGGTTAAAGTGTTATGGTTAAAGGCAAAGGGGATGGTCAAGATTGCCTTCAGAAGTCCCCTCTAACAACATCCACTCCTCTTCTCCTTCCACGTAAAGGGCAACCGTGTTCTTTCAGGTGCTCAGGCCAAACATCTTGGTGTCATCCTTGACTCCTCGATTTCTTTGACATCTTCCAATCCAGCAGATCCCAAAGCCTCTACTGTCAGAGTTTATACAGAATCCAACTACTTCTCACCTCCCCACTGTTAGCTCCTCAGTGGCCAAATTACCATTGTTTCTGTTCTGGAAAATTAAAAACAGCACCTTGCTGAACTCCCAGATAGTCTATTTTCCAAAGAATAGCCAGAGTGAGTGACCTTTTAAAGATATGAGTCCGATCGAACCCTTCAGGAGCTTGCTATCTCACTCAATAATAGACTGATTCTTACCACGGCTCACAAGCCCCACGTGCTCAGTATTTCCCACGACCACTTCTCAGACCTCATCTTCCCCTTTCCCATATCCGCTGCTCTTGCTGAGCACACCACTGGCGACATGCCCCCTACCTCATCGCCTTTGTTTTGAGATCATTCTTCTGGATCATGGCCTTAGCATCACGTCTCCTTCCCTCCCTTTCGATCTCTGCTCACGTGTCACCTAATAAGAGATAGCTTCCCTGACCTCCTGTATAAATGGAAAGACCCCTTTCCTTCACCCAAGCACTTTCTCCCTGTCCCCTTACCCCCACTCACTCCTCTTCAGACCCCTTATCCTTATCTGTTACACTACACAGCTATTTGTCTCTGTGTTTGAGGGTCTCTTCTATTTCCCTTCTGAATATAAGCTCCCTGAAAGCAGGGTCTTAGGTTCGTTCACTGCTATATTCCTTTGTTAGAAACACTGCAGGCACTTGGAAAATATGTGTGAAATAACTCCATGGGGGAGGGCAGGAGGAAGAAGGGGTTCGGGAACCAACATTTTATGTTGAATTTGACCAGAGAGAGAAAATTAATATAAAAATTTTTTAAAAAGTTGCTCTAATGCTTAATTATTTGTCCGGAGAAACGCCACACATGTCCGATTTTTAAGTTATTATATCTAACTTTTATTTTGAAGTCTTCTAAGTTATTTCTATCACTGAAAATAATTTTTGAGAACACGCTGCAGAATGTCAAAGTGTCATGAAAGTGTATGAGAACTCACAGTTCAGCATAGCAAACGCATTGAGTGCTGGGTTCTATACAGCTTTCATATTCCATCAACGTAAAGACAAATCAACACTCCATGGAAAAAATTCAAATCATTTCCGTAATTAAGAAGGCCTATTTGTTCAGTGGTTGAGCATCAGCCTATGAACCAGGAAGTCATGGTTTTTTGCTTTTTAAAAAAAGATATTTTATTGATTTTCCATAGAGAGAAAGAGAGAGGATTAGAGAGCTATAAACATCGATCAGCTGCCTCCTGCACACCCCCCATCAGGGATGCATGGCAATGCCCTTGACTGGAATCAAACCTGGGACCTTTCTGTTTGCAGGCCGACGCTCAATCCATTGAACCAAACTGGTTTCGGCAGAAGTTATGGTTTGATTCCCGGGTCAGAACACATGCCCAGGTTACAGGCTCAATCCGCAGCAGGGGGTGTGCAGGAGGCAGCTGATCATGGATTCTCTCTAACCATTGATGTTTCTCTCTTTCCTTCTCTCTCTCACTTCCTCTTTGAAATTAATAAAAACATAATAAAAAAAGAAGGGCCATTTGAGATAACATGGATGTATTTTGAGGGCATTATGCTATGTGAAATAAGTCAGACAAAGACAAATACTGTACGATCTCACTTACATGTTTAATAAAAACAAAATAAAACAAAACAAACAAACAAAAATAAAAAACAAACCACACCAACAACTCATGAATACTAAGAACATAGTGGTGGTTGCCAGGAGTTAGGGATAAATTGGATGAAGGGAGTCAAAAGATAAAAACTTCCAGTAATAAAATAAATGTCAGGGGAATGTAATGGACAGCACGGCCACCAGAGTTAATAATACTGAATTGTATATTTGAAAGTTGCAAAGAGAATAAATCTTAAAAATTCTCATTACAGGAAAAAATTTCTGTAACTATATTTGGTGACAGATGCTAACTAGATTTATTGTGATTATTTCACAGCGTATACAAGTATTAATCATTATGTTATACACTTGACACTAAATAATGTATGTCAATTATACCACAATAAAAATATACGTTTTCTAATTTTAAAAAAGTAAGAAAAAAAAGAAAGGAAAAGAAACTAATATTCATTGTACCCTATGCTATGGACTGTTCAGGAGAAATTGTGTACCTTCTCTCACTGAATTTTCTAAATAACCTTTAAGTTATGCATCAATATTCCTATAGATGAGACAACTGAGACTCAACGAAGTTAAATAACTTGCCTTCGATCAAATAGCTAGAAGGGGTAGGTAGAAGGAAGCATGCTATGCCCTGGGATTGTCCTGGTTGCATAGCCTACATGGTACAGTGATTAAGAACTTAAGATTGGGATATAAACACAGTGAAAGTCTCTGAGCCCAAATGTCCTCATTTCTGAAATAAGGATACGAATAATATCTAGGTTCCCTGTTTTCATTTTTATTTATTTAAAATTTTTATAGATCTTGAGAGAGAGAGAGAGAGAGAGAGAGAGAGAGAGAGAGAGAGAGAGATTTATGTGTGAGAGAGACAACAGGGATCGAACCCAAAACCTGGGTCTGTGCCCTGACCATGTGGAACCCACAATCTTTTGTGCATGGGACGACACTCCAACCAACTCAGCCACCCTGGCCGGGGTCCTAGCTTCTGTGTTTTAGGGCAAACTCATTAATCAACAGAGCCAAATATCAACAGTACAACGATTGAAATTTCTTTTGAGAGACAAATTTTTTAAACTTAAACTTCTTCTAATGCCACTTTTTCAAAATACTCTCCCAGGCCCTGGTATTTTGTGGAAGAGTCACACTCAAGGGGCCAAAGAGCCGCATTGGTTCGTGAGCTGTAGTTTGACGACTACGGTTTTAGGCAATTACACGAGACAACACATATAAAGCATTTAAGAGGAGCACATAGAAAGCAGCTAAGAAATGTTGGCTGTCCCTGGCCCCAGTGTCATAATAGAGTTATGCACATGAAACAAATGTCTGATGTCTCTTGAAGGAGATCAGAATATGCCACGTTTGGAAGATTATTATTATTTTTTAATTAATATATTTTATTGATTTTTACAGACAGGGATAGAGAGTTAGAAACACCGATGAGAGAGAATCACCCATCAGCTGCCTCTTGCACACTCCCTACTGGGGATGTGCCCGCAACCAGGGTACATGCCCTTGACTGGAATCGAACCTGGGACCTTTCAGTCCACAGGCCAATGCTCTATCCACCGAGCCAAACCAGTTTCGGCTGGAAGATTATTTTGAGCTGAAAACAACAGAGGATTAACAGTTGCAGAAAGGGTTCTCTGCCCTCCCTTTATCCACCCAAAGGCAAGGCATACATTTCCTTTTGTGAAGGCGTCCTCTTTGTGCCAGGATGGGAGAGGCCTCATCGCCAGAGATGGAGAGTCAGCATTGACATGAGGGTGCATAAACAACCCTTAGTAAAATAACCCTCACCTTCCATTAGTTCCCTCCACATATTTTCAAGTCACTTCCCCACAATTTCTCTCTCCTATCTCAAACCTCCTTTCCTTTGTTCACATGGTATAATAAGCCCCAGATTCTAACCACTTCTTAGGTTTCATTTCTTTCCTGTGAACTCCCATGCATGAAAGTATCAATAAAAATCATGTGCCTTTTTCAGCCAAAATCGGTTTGGCTCAATAAATAGAGTGTCAGCTTGTGGACTGAAGGATCCTGGGTTCAATTCCGGTCAAGGGCATGTACCTTGGTTGCGGGCACATCCTCAGTGGGGGATGTGCAGGAGGCAGCTGATGGATGTTTCTCTCTCATTGATGTGTCTGTCTTTCTATCCCTCTCCCTTCCTCTCTGTAAAAAATCAATAAAATATATATTTTTTTAAAAATCATGTGCCCTTTTTCTTAGTGATTTGTTATTTCTTATGTTTGTAGCCCTCCAGGTACTGAAACTAAGAAGTAAAGGGAAAGTGTTTCCTCCCTGACACTTCCACTGAAATTTGGCAGGAGGATGGACAAAGGATTGAGGATGTTGGTTAAAAAAAAAAAAAAAAAAAAAAAAAAAAGTAGAGTCATGATTTTGACTTTTCTTTCTTTGATCTAAGTAAAAAAGAGAATAGGCCTCTTTTCTTTTAGACCTGAATTTGCCAGTGAAAACAAGCCATTCAACCATGCAAAATGATGGAAATAAAACCACTACTGGGTTCTGAGAGAGTCAGCCAATCAGGTCAGGTAAGCAGAGATAGTCTTTATGGCAGTGAAATATAAATTAGGCAATACTTAGAGTATAATAAGAACAAAGAAAATTGAAAAAACATATGAAAACAACATCTCTTCTGAAATCTGGAGAGTTAAAAACTTCTAAATCCATTAAAGTGAACCCCAATGCCCCAATGTGTTAAAAGCCAACAGGAGGTCAAAAAAGCCTTTTTTACCTTTCGATAATGCCAGGGAATGGTAGTCTCCACAGGAAACTTGTATTATTTTTATACCACTCAGAGTTTTTATCTTCCTGTAATAAAAGTAAGACATAAAAAATATACAAACTCTATTAATCATTCTTTAGGATGTATCACTACAATATTTAAAACATCCCAGATAATACATTTAGTTTAGAAAAAAAAGTTCTTGTATTTCTGTAGTATCTTTTTTTCAAAGCTCTGACCTGTTTTTAACATGACATCAACATGTACAAAGGTGCAGGGCAGAATTTAAAACAGTATATAATGCAAAAGTGATTTTTTACTGGACTTTTAATGCATTATTTAATATATCAACTTTTATATCAATAAACTATTGATATAAAATAAAAATAACTTTCTTCACACACATATAGCACAGGGCTTTAGAATTTATAGGACACTATTTTAATCCCTGTGAGAAAAAGAAACCATGGGGTTGAACTGCCTCCGCAGGATCAAAGCGTAACTGTTGGCAATTTCACACGGTTGAATCTAGAACTCAAAGAAGTCAGATATGTTTCAAGTTGTAGAACTAGACTCAAACCCTGGTCTTTTCGTTTCAAGTTCAATGATCATCCCTCAAGCCACAGCAATTTCTCACGTGATTTAATGGCCACAGGGGGTAACAAGGAAACTTCCTAGAATTAGAAAACAGGCTCTTCAACATTTCCAAAGCGTGCAACGCAGGAACACAAAATTCAGACTGCCTGACAGATCATTCGTCCTAGAAAACTCTTTGTGAGGATATGATCTCACCTCTCCATTTTACTACGTAAAATATTAGGAGCCAGTGATTATAACAAAAAGGTTCTGCTGAGAGAAAAACTTCTCTTTCCAATTTGGGTGTAGTGATTTGAGGACCTGCAATTAATTGACAATAGACAGATTAACAGTAGAGAAGACATGGCTTGTTTACATGTACACATGGGAGCTCCCAGTAGTAGAAACTTTATGGAGTAGCCAGAGTAAAAGTTGGGGGTTGGGGGAGGGGGGCAGTTAGAACTTGAATGGAAGAGTATGGAAGTTTCTATTTTTACTTATTGATTTATTTTTGGTGCTGACAGGGCAGCTGAATTCACAGGAAACTCCTTGCTAGGAGGGTTAATGGTAGCTGAATTTTAGGAGGCACTACTTTAGTCAGATAGGAAAATTTAGATAAATCGATTTCTGCATCTTTAGTAGTTCAAATGTTTTTACTTTAATCTTTATGTCAACTCAGGGAGTCAAGACTGTATAGGTATTTCCAATAGATTAGATTAAGACCGAAGGGTCACATGTTTGCATTCACCATGCTCTTCTCCTTCACAGGACATTAGATAATAATTGGTGTTAAAAGTTTTTCCCTGCCTCCTCCCTGCAATATGCAATACACTGTAATGGTTGAGGTTAGAGACTGTGTTTGTTGGCATAGTCATCTTTGTACCCTGGCATCTTCCATGGTACCTGGAAGGTGGAACTAAAAAATATTGAGTGAATGAATGAATGAGTGAACTGAAATACTTACTTAGGTGTAAAAATTATTTCCATAAATTCTTCAATCCCCAGCTGTCCGTCAGAACCAGCTCCCCAAGCAAAGACCCTTCCTTGGTGACAAACAGCCAGGGAGTGCTCCTTTCCACAGCTCACGAAACCAATGTTTAGAGTTTCCAGTGCCTTAATGGGTTCTTCAGGAACAAAAACAAAGCAAAACAAACCCCCCACAGATTATTAATTTAACAGGAAGTTCAAGACAGTACTTTTTGCTTCAAAAAGAAGGGTCATTCAGATTGCTTGTCTCTTCCAACAGACCTTTAAATCAAGCCTAAAATCCACGCTAAAGGCCTGGAGGAAATAGCTCAATGTGTGTTATACTGTCTTTATGGCAATACTAAGTGGCCTGGTGCATGAAATTCATGAACATTAAAAGGGAATTAATTAGAGGAAATATTTTAATATTGCTATTTGCCCTTTATCTATAATACAAGTGTCAAAGAGGAAAGAAAATTAGTAAAATGTATATGAAAACCTCCCTCCTGCCAGAGTCTGGGGCTCCCCACAGGATCCAGAGTCAAGTCCCCGCCCACCTGTGGCGCCTCAAAATCGCGTGAGACCCGGACCCAGCGGGCCCCACCCTTGTCAATCCCCACCGGTTTGGGGGAACAGCCTCAGGTCCCCCAGCCTGGAGTCTGGGCCAGAGACACGCCTTGAGATCTCCTGTCAAACCCCACCTGGTGGGGGATGCAGCCTGAAATCCTCCATAAAGCCCTGCCAGGCAGGGGGGGGGGTCCTCCATCAGGTCCCACTGGGTGGGGGGCGGGCGCAGTCTGAGGTCCCTTGTCAAGTCCCGCCTGGCAGGGGACACAGCTTCAGGTTCCCCTGGTCTGGTGCCAGGCGGGGATGTGCAGCCTCAGGTCCCCTATCAAGCCCCGCTGGGAGGGGACACAGCCTCAGGTCCCTGGTCTGGAGGCGGTGCAGCCTTAGGTCCTCTGGCGCTGGGGTGTGGGGCGTGGTCTGAGGTCCTCCCCCCATCTCCCCCCCCCACCCCCAACACCGGGGCAGGAGGCATACCTTGAGATCCCCCATCAAGCCCGCCGGGCGCCGGGCGGGGGGGGGGGGGGGAAGGGGGCAAGGCCTGAGGTCCCCTGTCAAGCCCCGAAGGGGAGGGGAGGGGGAGTGCGGGGGCAGTGCGGGGAGCGGCCTAGGTACCCCCATCCCGGCGCGGAGGCAAGGAAAGGTGCCTGAGGTTTCCCTTCGAGCCCCACCAGGCGGGGCCGCAGTCTCAGGTCCCTGCTGATTGCTTGTTAAGGCTCCTTATAAATACTTGGTTCATGTAACGTTATTATGACATGATTTAATAAAGATTAAACAAAAATATTTTTTAAAAACCAAAAGGCAATGCATCAAAATATTAGCAGTTGTCTTTTTAAAAAATATATATTTATATTTTATTGATTTTTTTACAGAGAGGAAGGGAAAGGGGGAGCTAGAGACATTGATGAGCAAGAGACATCTGCCTCCTGCACACCCCCACTGGGGATGTGCCCGCAACCAAGGTCCATGCCCTTGACCGGAATCGAACCTGGGACCCTTCAGTCTGCAGGCCGACGCTCTATACACGGAGCCAAACCGGTCTCGGCAGCAGTTGTGTTTGGGTATTGGAACTATTGGCTATCTCTTCCCCTGTGTTTCTACAACAGTTAGTAATGGTAAAAATGCCATATATATGTATAATTTTAAGAAAAAAGACGCCCTAGTCTAGGGCATTGCTGAGGGACTCACAGGTGTCAAACCCCCAAACCGCCTGTGGAAGGCCGCTGTTCCTGCGAGCTTCCCGCAGACAGGGGTTTGGCCGCGAAAGAACAGAGGCGGGACCACAGCCTCCTTCAGGAAAGCGGTCCGGTTTAGTTCCACTTACGGTTTCGCTCGCAGTTTACCTTTTAAGAGGAATTAGAAACCGAAACTAACCCGAGGCGCGTCTGGGAAAGCGAAACCGAGGAAGTTGCGCTCAGCTGGCGCGGGGCGCCCATTCCAGGCTCCTGCGCTGGGGACACGGAGCTCCCAGCGCCCCCGCCGCCGGCGCCGCGCCCGCACCCTCACCCGCTCCCAACCCGCACCCGCACCCGCACCCGCACCCGTTCCCGCACCCGCACCCGCACCCGCACCCGTTCCCGCACCCGCTCCCACACCCTCACCCGTTCCCACAGCCGCACCCGCTCCCGCACCCGCACCCGCGCCCGCACCCGTTCCCGCTGTCACCTGGCCTGAGCCCGCACCCGTTCCCACACCCGCACCCGCACCCGCTCCCGCACCCGCGCCCGCGCTCACCTGGCTCGGGCCCCCGCGGCGCGCCCCGCCGGCCCAGCTGGCCGCGGCTGTTGTCCCCGCCCGCGTGGACGGTGCCGTCGCTCAGCAGCAGCAGCGAGTGGCGCGCCCCGCTGGCCGCCTGCCGCAGCTCGGCCCTGCCCCGGGGCTCCCGGCGCTGCCGCCCCTCGCGGCCGGCGCCCCAGCAGAAGTACATCCCGCTCCGCTCCCGCTGGCGCCTCCCCAGGGCTAGCTGCCGGGCCTCAGGCTCCCAGAGATTTGTGACCTGAGCTCAGCCCCGCCCTCGTCTCAGCCAGCCAACTCCAAGAGGGGTGCCCTGGCGCACTACGTCATCCGGACGCCTCCCCATACATGCTTTCGGGGTTCAAACAGGAGTGCCAAGCGCCCAGGAGCAGACAGGGACTTACTTCCCCGCTTTTCTCAGAGAGGAAAAACACCCAGATGGACGACATCCCAGCTGAGCCACCTTTGAGCTGTGGGACTTTGGGCAGGTGACAACGATGCTGTGCCTAACCTGCCATGGCTATGAAATGTGGACAGTGATACAGCAAGTCCATTACGTCAGGGCAATTAAATAGCTTCTTAGCAACGTGTTAGAATAATTCCTAGAGTGCTTTCATAAAAGCCTCCCAGTGCCAACCTTCAACTATGTTTGGCAATAAAATGGAAAGTCCTCATGGTGCTTACATTTCCCTATTTATAAACAGATAAATGCTTAGCATAAGGTCAAACAACTTAATGTTACTTAGCAACATTAAGAAAAATAAAGCGGTAAAAGAATAGAGGTGGAGAGAAAAGGAACTATGGTTTTTGGTAAGATATCAGAGAAGGTATGAAATGGAGGAACTTGGGAAATAATGAATCATGCTCATATCTAAGGGCAGAGGTTGCAGGGAGAGCAATGGAAAAGTTTTGAACAGGGAAGTGACATGGTCTGACTTTAGTTTTAAAAGAATCACTCTGGCTACTCTGGCTGCTGTGTAGAAGATAAGAGAATAAACATGGAAGCAGAAAAGCCAAGAGACGCGGCTGCAGGAGTCCAGATCACAAGGATGATGCTAGCACTACAGTGGTGTCCTAGAGGGGAGGAGAGAAAAAAATGATCCCAGTCAAGATTTTTTTTTTTTTTTTTTTTGAAAGCCAGAGTCCACAGGTTTGCGGCTGGATTGGAAGTGTGAGGAAAGAAGGAAAAGAATTAGGATTTTTGCAAAGTTGGCTTGAGCAACTGGGTGAATAGTGGCACCCTTTACTGGGAGAGGGTGCCTTGAGGGAGGTGCCAGTTTGGGACGGGTGGATAGGAGTCCAGTCTGGTAATAACTGAGAGATGCTTGGTATAAAGTGAAGCAATAAGATAAGCCATTTCAGGGTTGTGGAGAGAAGTCTGCTATTGGCAGTCCACAGTGCTGAGATAATATTGGAAGCCAGATGGCTGGCTGATTGAGAGCCCCATGGGTGGATGTGCCTAGCATATAACCAAGAATCGATCCTAGGAAGAAACCCAGGAAGGCTGGTGTGTGAGAAGCAAGTGAAGAAGAAGGGAAAGATCAACTCTGTCTATTGTTTGTCCAGCAAGTTGATCTTTTAGGTTTGGCAAAAATGGAGATCATTGGTGACTGACAGTGTTCACCATCATCAGCATTATTGTTTTATTTTTATAGTGTTTTTTATATACTCTCAGCTCACCTCTCATTACGACTACACTTTAAGTTCTCTCAATATGAGAAAAAAATGTTTTCACTGTTAAGAATGCCTGGCACACAGTAGATGCTAGAATGCACGTATTGGACAAATGCGTTGATGTGTGGTAAGTAAATGAATAGTATTCATACTTCTGGCTCCATTTAACAATATGCCATTTACTATCTACCCTTTTCTGAATAGGAATTTCCCAAATGTGTATTACTTTCCTCAGACACAACAGTGAGAATTTGATATCAGCCTAAGACACTGAGCCCTCATATTAAGTTATTTCTTTTAAAAATGTACTGAACTACAATGTAAATGAGAGAGAGGGAGAACTTATAGAAGGTCATTGTGGATCACATTGGTTTGAGGAAAGAGAATAAACCAGAGAAGAATTAGGTCTGAGGTCAGCCCTTGAGGATCCTCGGGAGGGACAAGTGAGAAGAAGTAGAGACCTTGTAATTATATTGCTTTTCTCTACCACCCTCTTCCTAGCCCCACTTCTGAGTTCAAAGCCCATCCTATGCGCTACTTAGCCAGGATAGCCCGTAGACTGGACAAATGGCAAATAGAATGCATTTGGTGTTTTTATGAGGACACTTCCATATGCCATCCCAATTATCTTCAGATGGCCCCATGGCAGGTGTCATCCAGCGGTTCTCCACAAATGGACAAGCCAGGTAGGGTAGTCAGTACAAGTTGGGAGGGGGGGAAAAAAAAAAAAAAAAGAGAGATACCTGTTCAAGCCCCAACCTTTCAGTCTCCTATTACTAGATAAGAAATAGTAATTTTGATTTTTAACTCTAGATGGCGGTATTAGTCAACTTGAACTTTTTTTTTTTTAATTGAATTTATTGAGGTGATGGTTAATAAAATTATATAGGTTTCAGGTATACAATTCTATATATATTCTTTTGTGTTTTTATCACCTCAAGTCAAGTTTCCTTCCATCACCATTTACCCCCCCTTTACCTTACCTTCTATCTCCCCCAACTCCCCTTCCCTCTGGCAGTCACCATACTGTTGTCTGTGAAGCTCTTTTCTTTAATCTTAGGAGACAACTTGACCTATTTTTTTGTTATTGACAGATTAATGGTTGATATCTCTTTTCTATATGTAGTCTTATAATTATAAGGATTTTTATGATTTTTTTCATACTTATTTGCAATATTGATACTAAAATTACTTAGGAAACTATTGTATGTTATATTCACATGTTATATTATTACTACATTATTGTCATAACATATTTCATTATAGCACTGCTTTTATCTGGAGTCTGTCAGCAACCTCCTAGCTCTAGAATATAGTTCTGAACTGGGAAAAAGAGAAAAAGTGCCTCTGAATCTTAGAAATGGTTGCCCCTCTAGCCAGAGGCTTCTAAACATGCTACCCAGTAACATATTGAGGACAGGCCAAGACTTTTATTTAAATATTGTTTAACTTAATTTGTTAGCCCATGTGAACTAGTGGGGTGTTATTTTGTAAATTAGAAAATTTCACCTTTGTGTAAAGATACTGTCAAATAATAATGGTTAACAAGATTTAAGTTTATTTTTCTCACACATTGAAAAGTCTTTGAGGTAAGCAACCAAGGCTCATGGGGCAGGAACTCGGGCACCTTTTATCTGTTTCTTTTGGGAACTTAACTTCCACCTTCGAGGTCATCTTCAAATCTTCACGTTCCAAGGTGACTCAGTTGTATTATCACAACTCTGTTCCAGGCAGCTAGAAATGAGGAATGAAGTCGCTATTCCCCAAACCCATACAACACTTTCTCATATGTCTGATTAACCAAAACTTATTCACATGGCTATAGTAGCTGCAGAAGATGCTGGAAACCTTAAATAAAATTGGAGTTCTGTTTCCACGGAAAAGTGAATTATTAGGTTGCCCTGAGCAGTCTGTCCACAGGTAGCAAGGAATTTGAGTTGTTTGGTTCCTACGTACAGGAGGGCGGCATCACCAGGATGTGACAAATGCAGTTAGTTGCATGGGGCTCTTTCAGAAGGCCTGCCCTTAGTTTAATGTGCTGCTGTCTCTGCCTTGAAATCCTTATCAATTTTCTCTTTGAACCTGCATTTTGTAAGTGAAGTTTGTCGGAACACTGGAGTATGTGTGAGAGCAGGGAAGATACACCCAATATGTCTGCTATTGCTTGCCACCCTATTTGCATATGGTATTCAAGATGCCGCCATAAACATAAAATTCCATCGGATCGGTGGTGTGTGAGAGTTCATTGAGCCTCAAAGCTAGGATAAGGTAAGTAGGTTACATCTAGGACTGAAGAAACTAGGACATTGACAGCTCCTAGAGGCCACACTTCCCGTTTGAACCAGAACTTGGCTTCCAATCCAGAAAGAAGGCAATGGCATTTAAAGAAACACAGATGAGCAAGGAACCCTATCAAACCCTTTTCTCATTCCTCATTTTTCTCAGCATTAGTCAACACGTGGTACTGAAAATGATATAGAAAGAAAAGGAAAATTAGGGCAACCCATAATTCATTTCCCTTTCAGGCCTTCCTCATTCTTAGGCTAAAATTAGAGTGTATAGTAGAACATACAGGTATCAAGAAGTGGAATAAAATAGTTGAGTTAGTTCTGTGCACTGTCTCCACCATTCTGGTAAGAATTAAGTACACGTAAAAATAAGAGCTAAAAAATAGAAATGACATAGTTTTGATTCTTTTGCTTATGAATTAATAGCTTGTGTTTGCATTTTCATTGCACAATTTAAAGATGAATGGTAAAATTTATGCTCATATCTTAAAAATTCTAATTTTCTTTAGTTAGAACAACATTAATTAGCAAATAAAAACACCATGACAAATTTAAAAAGAGATATTGGAAGAAAAAAAGTTTTATATTTTAGTACCTTTAATTTTCTCTCCCCCCCCCCCCCCCGCCCCTATTCTTTGAACAAGTAGCTCTGCGTTTTGTTTTGTGCTGGGCCCCACAAATTATGAAGTTAGCACTGATGCAGCGTTTAAAAATTCAGTCAGACTGTGCAAAAAGAATTTATTCTCTAGAATTTATCTAAGTTGATTCTCAAGCCTCTGTGCTAGTGTTTGGGCAGGGATCTTAAACTGGTCATTTAACACTCTCCATCTCTTCTTGTTTGAACTGTTGTTCTTCAGGTAAATGCTGAATTTTCTAGATGTTTTTCTTCCTTTCCACTCCCCAAGTCCTTTATCATAATGGGAACTACAATAAAAGACTGAAGGGAAAGGATGAAGCAATGTATTCAACTTGAAATAAAAGGCCGTTCATAGTATAGTGTTCATCGGAAGAGTTCATCATTGTGTCATGAAGTTCATGAGAATTTTCTTTACACTTGTGTCCTTTACCACCAGTTTCTAACATGTAAGAGAAGCTGAATCAGAATACAGAAATCCAGATAGCTGAGTTAATGGAAAATCATTTAAGGGATATAATAAATTGCCTCCTATTGAAGTTTGAGAAACTCAAACCATGATACATCTTACTTCTACTGCCCACTAGTTAATACTTA